GACACTAGAAAGGCAATATGTCAAGCAATGGAAGGGAAACTGATATGATACAGCAATTTGTATATGGGGTAAAAGGGGGAGTTCATAATCCACGTGAATCAAACTGTGTAATATGATGTATTATGAACTATGTAATGTTATGAACGACCAATAAAAAAAAATAAACAAACAAACAAACTTTATTATGTATATTTAAGGTGTACATTGTGATGTTATGAAATACATATAGATAAAAAGGTTACTACATCGAAGCAGATTAGCCTGTCATCTCACATAGTTACCCATATTTTTGTTTTTATGGAAAAAGCAGTTGAAATCTATTCATTTAATATTATTCTAAATACAACACATGTTGTATATTAGATCTCTAGGCTTGTCATGCTGTATGTCTTTTATTTTGTGGATACAGCTTACATCTCCCCATTTCCTTCCCTACACACTGCCTGCTCTTACCACCCTTTCCTATGCAGAAAAATTTAATTTACTTTCATCTTTCTAATCCTTTGTGTTTATACCCATAACACAATGCAAAATAAATGAAGGTCTTGTCTTATTTATCATCACTCAGAGTAGAAAAGAGTGGAAAACTGTAAATATACCCTCTTCCTCTTTAGCATATCAGCTGTACTGATTCCTTCCAAAACGAAATCATGGCATTTGCAGGTAAATGTATGGAACTAGAGAACATCATGCTAAGTAAAATAAGCCAATCCCAGAAAAACAAAGGCCAAGTGTTTTCTCTGATAAGTGGATGTTGATTCCATGGGGTGGGGGTTGGAGGGTATGGATAGGGAAGAATGAAAGCACTCTGGATTGTGCAGAGGGAAGTGAGGGGGAGAGTGGGGCTGTGGTGTTGGCAAGGACAGTAGAATGAGATAAACATTATTTTATATATATATATATATATATATATATATATATATATATATATATATGACTACTGGTATGATTCTGTACCATGTGCAGCCAGAGGAATGAGAAGTTGTGCTCCATTTGTGTACAATATGTCAAAATGCATTCTATTGTCCTGTATAACTCATTAGAACAAATTTTAAAAAAATAGAAGGGAGACCGGTAGAATAGAATAAGGGGACCAGGGGGAGAGATGGGAGGTCCTGGGGAATGAAATCAATCAAACATTTTATACACTGTGTGCACATATGAATATATTATATAACAAATCCCACTGTTGTGTGTAATTATAATAAGTCAATAAAAGGGGGGAAAATGCCTCCCTTGCAAGCTTAAACGCCACTTTCTCCAACAAATCCTGCTGCTGGAGCTGCACACATCTGGAGGTTAACCAGGCTGGACATCTGAAATGCCTCACTCACATGACTGGGCTGTTGGCCCCAGTGCCTACAGTGGCCTCTCCATGTGGTTTGGCCTTCTCACTACAGGGCAACTGGGTTCCAAGAAAACATCTCCTCAAAGCACAGGTGCAAAGAAACCAAGGTGGAAGATCCAAGGCTTCCTCTGACCTAGCCCTGGATGTCATGCAACAGCACTGCTGCCACGCTGTTGGTCAAGCAAGGTCACTAAGGATACCCCAGATTGGAAAGGAGGGAATTTAGACTCCATCTCTCATGGAAGGAGTAGCAAACATTTCAGTGGTCCTTCATCTAGCACATTTAATATGCTGCATATGATGCTTACTTACCTCACATTGCTTTGCATGACAGCATTTCCCTCTGGCTGCAGTCTGACCTACCAGGAGTAAAACCTCAAGCAGGAGTAAAACCTCACCCATCCCTATATGGTCTAAGGCCACCTTTGATCCTCTTGTGCCTAATCCCACAATGCCACCATCTCTACTGTCTTCCCAATGTCCTGATGATGTAGGGCACCTTTAGGGAAGGGGCCTAATTCCAAAATTTCCAGGTAGAAAATTTTAAAGTCCCCTTTAAAATCAATTTCTCTTACATTTCAAGACAAATTCTAGCACATTGTTTCCACATCCTAAAAGTTATCTTGGGAAAGTGCTGAAAAGAGTGCACGACCTTGCCTTGCCCTTATGGTTTTCATCCTAAAAGAGTTTGTCAAATCTGAATTGATGATGTGAAAAGACTAGTCCTGCCAGGTAACCTCCATTTCCAAAACTTCCTGTCTCACATCAAGATGATCCATTTTAAACATTGTCAAGAGATTGGCATTGGTCCATTTGTGAAAAATGGGAAAGGAAGGGGAATGCAGAAAACATCACATTCAATTTTGGATGAAGTCTAGGTTTTTCAATATTCACCTCCCATGATGCTGTTTGCTCACTGAATCTAGGGTGGGGAGGGATAGGAGGGACCGGGATTTTCTTTCTTCACAGAAAATGAATTAAATCAGACATATTGTTCCCTCTTCCACACAGTTGTTCAATACAACAATAGAAACTTCTGTGAAGACAGATGATCTACAGCATCGCCTGAAAATACTACTGGAACAAACTCTCCTAACTGCTTATGTCAATGTTTCAAGAGGACTTTTTGAACAACATAAGCTCATCTATAGCTTTATGCTCTGTGTTGAGATCATGCGTCAGCAAGAATTGCTAACTGAAGCTGAATGGAATTTCTTTCTCCGAGGTTCTGCAGGACTGGAAAAGGTACCTATTACACATTTGGATGGTGCATGTTATTATAGATAGAGCCCATAAGCACATACCAGTGCTCCATGAAGACCGTGGTAGCTGAAGGTTATACACTTGACTGTGTGGCCCAGTGTAGAGGAAATTGTAGGTCAGGAGGCCCATTATTATTACCTCCAGCTAGCTGCATAATTTTGGTAACGCTTTACCTCATTATGCAACAGTGCCCTCATCTGCAGAAAAGGAATATCAGGAGTAACCAGTGAGCTGGTAGAAGTGAACCTGTTTTTAAAAGTTAACTATCTTGTGAAATAGGAAGAGCTAAAAATCCAGCAAAAGATAAGGTTTCACAGATTGGTCAATACTCTTTGTGAAATCATGACCTCTCTTGCCTAGAGATCTCTCTCACTAGAAACTATGGGCAGTATATAATAATTTGATTGCTATCTCCTGTGATACTGTAATCCAAGTTCTAAAGTTCTCTTCTTCATTTTCATTCTTTTGTCTAATTTTCTCTAGCTGCTTAAACTGACCTAACTTGTCTATGTACTATAAGCCTTGCACCTCACAGAAATGAGTTCCCACCCTTCCCTTGAGATTCCCTCTTACCTCTACTCTAAACTCTTGATTTGGCCTTTTGTTCTCAAGTCCTGTGCTTGGATCCTGCACACCTAACATATGAACCTGTTTTCTAGGATTCAATCCTCAGTATATCACTGAGAGGTTGGACTTGATATTTTTATTTGACTCTCAAGACATGCTCCCAAGACAAGCCCATCTAAGACCTTCCTCCCCAACTCCTTCCCACCTTGCAAACAAACATATTCTGTTAATTCTCTTTGGATGTATCTTATCTCTATACAGTTCATATGAACAGAGGACTTATGAGTTTTATGTATATCATCTCATTTATTCTTCTCAATATTATTCTTTTTAATCTTTTTTGGGGGCACTTAGCCACTGAGCTATATCCATAGCCCTTTTATTTATTTTTTTTTATTTTGAGGCAGGTTCTCACTAAGTTGCTTAGGTTCTTACCAATTTGCTAAGGCTTGTGATCACACTAATTTGTTGAACTTGTGATCCTCCTGCCTCAGCCTCCTGAGCCACTGGGACTAGAGACATGTACCACCAAGCCTGGCTCAGTATTATTCTTGAATAGGTTCCTGGTTTTACCTCTATTACAGGTAAGGTAATAAGGAAGGCCCATAAAGGTTAAGTTACTTTATCATAGCAGCCTTGTTTACAGTTTTCTCATGTAGAGGTTTGAAGAATTTTCCAGAATCACACTAATGCATGGCAGGGTCTAATTAGTCTAAGCTTCCAAAGTCCTTGCCCATTTCAGTATCAGCTACTACTTTTCATGAGCAGTATATTTTGAAAGGGAGTTTAAAATATGTTTTAAATATGAACAAGTAGAAACTTAAAATTACCCATAAATCATCTTCCCTATAGCATCTTTGTACTTCATATATTTGTCACATTTTGGTAATTCTCAGACTATTTATTTTTATTATATCTGTATGGTGATCTGTGATCACTGACTTCTGATGTTACTATTATAATTGTGTTGAGATGCCACAAACCATGCACATAGAAGACAATGACTTCTTCACTGTCCAATTTCTCTTGCTCTCCTTGGGTCTCTTTAAGTTTAGAGAAGAAGGCATGTTGAAAGCAAACACAGGCCAAAAGCTAGGCCTTTTACACCAAGCAGTAAGTGATATTGTAAATGCAAAGAAAAAGTTCTTGGAGGAAATTTAAAGCAATACTCCAGTGAATACAGAAAAATTATATATAGATGGATATATAGAGATATATAGATGGATAATACACACACACACACACACACACACACACACACACGAGCAACCTTATTGCTCATATGGCATATATCACACTAGCCACAACATTCCCAGAGCAAGACGCCAGCTCTTTTCAATTTGCTGAAGATCAAGAAAGATGAGGAAGCTGCAGAAGAAAAGTTTGAAGCCAGCAAAGTTTGGTTTATGAAGTTTAAAGAAAGAAGCCACCTCCACAACTTAAAAGTACAAGGCAAAGTAGGTGTGACTATAGAAGTGCAACAATTTATCCAAAAGATCTAGCTAAGATAATTGATGAAGGTAGCTACATTAAACAACAGATTTTCAATATGGATGAAACAGCATTCTGTTGGAAGAAGATGCCATCTAAAGCTTTCATAGCTAGAGAGAACTCAATGCCTATCTTCAAAGATTCAAAGGCAGGGCTGACTCTTGTTAGGGGCTAATGCTGGTAATGATTTTATATTGAGCCAATGCTCAAAATGCTAAGGCAATTAAGAATTATACTCTATCTACTCCACCTGTGCTTTATAAATGRAACAACAAAATACAGATAACCTGATTTACTGCATATTTTAAGCCTGCTGCAAAACTTACTGCTGAGGGGGAAAAAAAGTATTTCTTTCAAAATAATATTGTTCACTAATATTGCACATACTCACCCAACATTTTTGACAGAGATTACAGTATTGATGTTTTCATGTCTGCTAACAACCACAGATCAAGAAGTAATTTTGACTTTCAAGTCTTATTACTTAAGTAATAAATTTTATAAGACTACAGCTACCAGATCTATCTACCTCTAATAGATCTGGGCAAAGTAAATTGAAAAGTATTCAACATTCCAGAACCCATTAAGAACATTTGTGAAATGTGAGAGGAAATCAAAGTAGCAACCTTAACAGAAGTTTGGAAGACATTGACTTCATCTCACATGGATGGCTGACTTCAATGGTGGAGGGAACTGCAGATGTGGTAGATATAACAAGAGAACTAGAATTTGAAGTAGAGCTTAAAGATGTGACTGAATTGCTGCCATCTCATGATAAAACTTTAACAGATGAGGAATTGTTTCTTGTGGATAAGCAAAGAAAGGGGTTTCTTGAGATAGTATCTACTTCTGGTGATCACGTTTTTGACATTTCAAAATAACAACAAGGGATTTAGAAATATAACTTAGTTTATAGAGTAGCAGTAGAGGAGGGACTCTAATTTTGAAAGAAGTTCTACTGTGTATAAAATGCTGTCAAATATCATCATATAATATAGAGAACTCCTTTGCAGCAAACTTCTTTGTTTTCTTATTTAAAGAAATGAAGTTAGGCACAGTGGCACAAGCCTGTAATCTCAGCTACTTGGGAGACTGAAGCCTAAGAATCACAAATTTGAGGCCAGCCTCAGAAATTTAATGAAATCTTATCTCAAAATAAATAATTAACCAAACTTTCCTATGTACACATATGAATATACCATAGTGAATTTCACCTTTATGTAAATCCATGATGTGCTAATTTAAAAAACTGTAAATAGAAGAAAGATCAATAGAGTAGATGGAACAGGGAGGGAGGAGGAGAGGAATAGAGGATGTATTAGGGACTGAACTGGAACAAATTACATTGCATACTTTTTATAATCATGTCAAAGTAACCCCAATATTATGTATATCTATAATGAACTAACAACCCCAACATTATATCTATAATGAACCATAAAAAGATTGGGGATGTAGCTCAGTGGTAGAGAAGAAGGGAAGGGGAGGGAGGGAGGGAGGGAGGAAGGAATTGACACAGCCACTCCAGCCTTCAACAACCACTACCTTGATCAGTCAGCAGCCATCAACTATAAGGAAGATCCTCCACCAGCAAAGAAACTATAACTTGCTGAAGGCTTAGGTGATTGACTGCATTTTTAGCAACAAAGTATTTTTAATTCTTCATGGTATGTGCATTATTTTTTAGACTTGATGCTATTATACACTATAGACTATAGCATAGCATAAACATATGCATCAGGAAATCAAAAAATTCATGTAACCCAGTTTATCCCAATATTTATTTTATTGCAGTGATCTGGAATTGAGCTTGAAATATCTCCAGAGTATCCAAAGTATTCCTGTATAGTTTCTTTTTAAGAGAATTACATCTTCCCAAACTGACTGTGGTAATAATGATAGCAACATATCTGTTAATGTACTAAAATCGTTGGATTATATATTTTAAATGAGTGAATCATATGACGTGCAATTTTTATCCAGTAAATCTGTTTTTATATATTCAGGAAATTCTCAAAGAACTAGTTTAAGTCTGTAATCACAGCTATTTCTCTCTTTTTTTAACTATTTACCCACATGTAAGTGCTTCATAGAATGTTGCCAGATTACATTATAATCTTCCTAGAGATGTCTAGGACTGAAATAATTAGATATGAACTCAGCAATGTGATATTGTTACTTGTCACGAACCATCCATACAATGTATGTACCAGATCAGCATGGAAATCCATTGAGTGGGGAAATCTGGTGTCTGGGAACTTACACTGGCAACCCTGCTATAAGATGGCCCAAATACACGTGAACTCCCACCCAGCTCTACCAAAGATCCCACACAGCACTGAAGATGGGGTGACCTGCTACAAACATCAAGCCACACAGCCTCTCAGAGATGGCTGTGACCTGCCAAGATGCCAACTAACCTGCTGACTGCAAGATAGCATGAAGCAAGACTCCACCCCTGAAACCTTATTCCTGTCTTTGATGTACCCCTTTAAATAAATCCCAGTAGCCAATTTATTTATTTATTTATTCTAATTTGTTACATATGATAGAATGCATTACAATTCATATTACACATATAAAACACAATTTTTCATATCTCTGGTTGTACAGAAAGTACAGTCACACCATTCGTGTCTTTAAACATGTACTTAGGGCAATGATGTGTGTCTCATGCCACCTTCTTTTCTACCCCGATGCCCCCTCTCTTCACCTCCCACCCCTTTGTCTTATCTAGACTATACAGATTTAATGCGATTCCAATCAAAATCCCAATGATATTCCTCATAGAAATAGAAAAAGCTATCATGAAATTCATCTGGAAAAATAAGAGACCCAGAATAGCTAAAGCAATCCTTAGCAAGAAGAGCAAAGCAGGTGACATCACTATACCAGACCTTAAACTATACTACAGAGCAATGGTAACAAAAACAGTATGGAATTGGCACCAAAATAGTCCTGTAGACCAATGGTACAGAATAGAGGACACAGAGAAAACTCATGTAATTACAATTATCTTATATTAGACAAAGGTGCAAAAAACATACATGGAAAAAAAGATAGCCTCTTCAACAAATGGTGCTGGGAAAACTGGAAATCCATATGTAACAAAATGAAATTAAATCCCTATCTCTCACCATGCACAAAACTCAAAGTGGATCAAGGACCCTGGAATTAAACCAGAAACACTGCATCTAATAGAAGAAAAAGTATGCCCAAATCTTCATCATGTTGGATTAGGCCCCAGTTTCCTTAATAAGACTACTTTAGCACAAGAATTAAAATCAAGAATCAATAAATGGGATGGACTCAAACTAAAAAGCTTCTTCTCAGCAAAAGAAACAACAATCAGTGAGGTGAATAGAGAACCTACATTTGAGGAGCAAATTTTTACCACACACGCAACAGATAGAGCACTAATCTCTAAAAACCCAAATAACACAGAAGCCATTATTTTTATTTTTAAAAAATTTTAATTGATTTTTTAAAAATAAATGGCATCAGAATGCATTACGATTTTTATTACACATATACAGCACAATTTTTCATATCTGATTGTATATAAAGTATGTTGACACCAATTCATGTCTTCATACATGTACTTTGGATGATGATGTCCACCACATTCCACCATCCTTGCTAACCCCCTGACCCCTCCCTTTCCCTCCCACCCCTCAACCCTATCTAGAGTTCATCTATTCCTCCCATGATCCCCCTCCCTACCCCACTATGAATCCACCTCCTTATATCAGAGAAAACATTCGGCATTTGTTTTGTTTGGGATTGGCTAACTTCACTTAGCATTATCTTCTCCAAAACCATCCATTTACCTGCAAATGCCATGATTTTATTCTCTTTATATTGCTGGGTAATATTCCATTGGGTATATATGCCACATATTTTTTTATCCATTCATCTATTGGAGGGCATCTAGGTTGGCTCCACAGTTTAGCTGTTGTGAATTGGGCTGCTATAAACATTGATGTGGCTGTGTCCCTGTAGTATGCTGTTTTTAAGTTCTTTAGGTATAGACTGAGGAGAGGGAAAGCTGGGTCACATGGTGGTTCCATTCCCAGATTTCCAAGGAATCTCCATTCTGCTTTCCATATTGGCTGCACAGGAGCCATTTTCTAATTGTTCAGCTCCAGCTTCTGTGTTGGCTGGGTCTATCAGGTGCTACAAGCTTCCTTTAAAAATATTTTTTATGACTCTGTGTCTTTTGTTCTTCACTAATTATTTCTGACTCATCTTCTCCTGTGGCTTATACGCTCCATGGGCAGGAAGAAGGACCCCTGAGCGAGGTGCTGGCCGCCTCCCCATAGTTATTTGTTTTGGTATGATATTGCTCACGACTCAGCTTTCCTCACCTTCTAGGTAAGATTATTCAGAATCTGCTTTGGACTCTAGTTCTATAGAAAAAAATCATTAACCATAAGAATGTTTGTGAAGTTGAGGAAGACTGGTGTAAGATGTTGGAGAAGAGCCCAGAAATAGGCTTAACAGATTTAATTTTAACCCTTCACCAGATCAACTTTGTACTCTGCAAATGTCAACCTGAAAAGCTTTTGTCAGCTGCACTTCTACATAGAGGTCTACTATATCTTATTAGTTGTCCCAGAGAAATGGTTATTTTTAACCTACTATTGTAGCTTGAATTTTCACTTAAACAAGGTAAAAGAGCATTTTATTATTGTCTTTGTGAATTATTATTATTATTTTTTTTCCTGTCCTCTGGTAGGATCGCCCTCCTAAGCCTGAAGTTCCCTGGTTATCTACTGCCATGTGGTTTGCATGCTGTGACTTAGAAGAGTCATTTCCAGTTTTTCAAGGAATTACACGATATATATTTTTGCGACCTATTTCCATATGCTTGGGTAATATGACAAAAAAATCTGCTGTACGGCATTTGTAAACAGACTCTTGAATCCTAGCTTTAATATCTCCTTTAACCCTCTTCTGAAATGTGAATGTTTTCTACTAGGAAATTATTCACCTTTAAGAAACTGAATTAACTGTTTTCACAATTTCTTGAGTTGAATGTTTGGCCCATCAATTTTCAATATTTTATGTTTACTATTATACCCCTTTTAAGAATATAGATTTACCTGTAAATATTGCTTTGGTTGCATCCCATAGATTTTTTAAAATTTTTTATTTAAGGATAACATAAATACAGAAAGAATATAAAAACCAAAATCATACAACTATCACAAACCATATACACTCATGAGCCATGACCCAAATCAAAAAATAGAACGGTACCAACAACCCCAAATCCCCTCATACTGTCTTTTCCCCAGAGAAAACAACTGCTCTGAATTAAAACCTTCTATATTGTTTTCCCAACAATATGCTGGTACATGTTCAGATGGTACATTTTCATTTCTATAACTATTCCATGTGCATCATTTCTTGGATACAAATTTCTATATATAACATTTAGCTCAAACTTATTAAGTATGATGTCTTTTTCTGATTTTTTCATGCTTGATCTGTTAAGCATATGACAAAGAGGGATATTTCTGTTATCTTGTGGAGATTTTTGGAGAGTGGAGGCAGGTTTTTTTTTTTTACTTCTTTCTTGACTTTAAGTGGATCATCCATACTCTTATTTATTTAGGCCCCCTTACTAATTTGAAATTTTATTTGTGATTTTATGATAATTACTCATGCTTCTAATATGATCTTTTAAAATTACCAAATATACATTTCTTTAATTTTAAAGTCAAAACATTCAAATTAAAGCTTTTAAAATTGTGTTTCCAGGATCTTTTAAGACTTATATTAACTCAAGCCAGTTGGAAGACTATTTTGAATTTCAAAAAGAAGACCAATCCATGAGAGAAAAGGAGGCCATACTCCTGGAATATTGGCTCTCAGAATTGAGTTCTTTCCACAAACTAATTCTTATTAAATGTTGCAAAGAAGAAAAGGTAGGGTTTTTTTTATTAATTTTTATTAACTGTTATAATTGTTTCTACTAAAGCTCACCAGTCAGTTATGATCCATAAGTTTGTTTGAGACTAACAATGGCCAGGCCTCTAAAAAATAGAGGCTCTGTATTATTAGTAGAACATGTTATTTTATACAGAAGATAATGAAAGAGAAGACTAGAGAGCCATCCAGGAACTTCATTATCACTTACCTATTGTGCGCTGTTAGGGAACTTATGCCATCTGCATAAATGGTACAGAAGTCTGTTGGAGGCTTTAACAGGGAATTAATCTTAGCAACAATGGGGAGGAAGCATTTGAAGGGTATAAAACAAGTCACCAGACATATTTGAAAACTATTGAAGTAGTCTATGTAAGAAACTGTGGCAACCTGAAATAAGACACAAGTAGTAGATTAAAGAGATGGAAGGGGATGTGATGAGGTGACTAGTGTGGCTCACATTTTTCGTTTTGGTGCCAGTATAGAGAGTGGTACCAAGAACTAAGCAAACATAAAAAATATGTATAGAAAGATGTCATTGAGTCTACAGTGCTTGTCAGCTATCAGGGACATCTTCTTTGCAACATTTAATAAGAATCATCAGCATTGAGTTGAAAAGTAAAACTATTGAGGTTGTTGGGACTGTAGAGGAATAATACACAGTAGAATAAAGGCTCAGGTGTACAAAGAGTGAAACTCTGATGAGAACCAACTTTCAAGAGGCACAGAGGAGGGATGAAGGGCTTTGAGAAAGAATGAGTCACATGAGCAGAAAAAACAACAGGAGAAAGAAGTGCTACAGGAGTCAATTAGGTATGGAATTTCAGTACACAAAAGTTATCAACAAAATGAATGAAGTATTGCAGATAGTTCCAGTTTTTATATCTGTGCATACATAATCTATAATTTTATTATTCTAAATAAATTATATTTACTTACCTGCTAAGAATCCAAATAGTGAATTTGGGAGGCACTGGAAGAAAATGGAAGCTGATTCTTTGGGGAGACAGATAAGAGCAGGAGAGAGAGAGAGAGAGAGAGAGAGAGAGAGAGAGAGAGAGAGAGAATTAACTGGAATTAACTGGAAAAGGCCAAAGTATAGTTGGCAAATATTAATACAGCTTTGAAGAACTTTTATTTGTCTTCACAGGAACATAGAAAATAGGTTATGGGGTTGACCTGGGATACATATGATTGCAATAAAAGTATAGAAGATATAAGTCCATTGAGAATATTGGTAAGAGAAGTTCTGGGAAAAGCAAGAGATAAGAAAGCACTTATAAACAGAAAAGGAAATTTCTTTGGAAGCAGATAAAGTTGGACTAGAGGTGTAGAAGATCTGGAAGAATAGAAGTGGTTGTGATGAAAGTTGAGCTTAAAATTTCTATTGTGAAACAGTTCTAAGTAAAGAAAGTGTCCTGAGGTTGGCTGTGAGTGTGGGTGACTGTTCATGAGATAGATGATATGCCCTGGAGTTAGAGGTCAAGGAACTGAGATTGGTGTGGTGAATGTCCACATGGACTCTGAACCTCCCATGGACTCTGATGCTGTCAGGAGAATGCCTGGGACACAGTGGTAAGTCATTTACATTTTGTTCAATGAACAGACATACAACGAACCAAGTGAAACACCTTCATTGAAAATGAAACAGTAGCTACCAGACTGCATGGTGATGAAAATGAGAGGATTACTAGATGGCATGAGTCCCAAAGAAAAGGAAGCTTTAGAGATAAAACCATGAGAACTAAAAAATTCTTGACTATGAGAAATTTTGCACTCATTTCTTTAGCCACCTATTTTGTTTAATGTTTGCTTATTAAGAGAAAAAAAGATAAAGGATGAAGATTTTAGGTTACAAAATATTTAGGAGACAAATCACCTAATCTCTATGTATAAGTTTTATTTAGATTTGATTAAACATACAGTTATTTAAGCATATATACACATACAATTTTATATCAGAGAAAAGTGAATACTGCCTATATATTTGGTGATATTAAGGAACTGTTAATTTTTAGATGTGATTATAGTACTGTGTTTATGGTTTTTAAAGTCTTTATCTTACATAAATATTGAATTACTTAAGGATAAAGTGATATCATGCATGACATTTGCTTTAAAATAATCCTGAGGGCTTAAGGAATGGGTGGATATATCAATGAAATCATGATTGGGCATACCTTAACAAATGTTGAATCGAGGTAAAGTATAAGTTTTATTATTCTTTCATTTTATACACTCTTAAAAATTTCCATAATAAAATCTGTTTAATTCCTAGTCATATCCTTCTACACCTGGGTTCTCTTGCAACATGTCATAGGACAGCTCTCCAAATATGATCAAAGTTATAAATGTTAGACAGTTATACCAATTCACAAAAGGTTAATTGAAAACTCTTAAACCAAAGCACTCAACCTAAAATCTTATGGGTTATTTTACCAAACAAAACTGGCTTCAAAATTAACATGGAGGAGTCAAGGAAACAGATTAGGTTTCAGAAAATAGAGTTAGACACTTGTTCCAGAGAATCCAGGAACTAAATGAGTCAAGACAATTGATGGGATCACAATGAAAAGACAATTAAAGTATGGCAATGTCATACCAGCCTTACTTCTTCCCAATTATATTTAGAACAACTTGCTAAAGAAATTGCAGTTTGAGAGTAAAGAATCAAATTTAGTTTCAAAACTGAAGATCTAGATTCCTATCCAGAAGCAGAAACTTAAAACAAAGATAAGATCTCAGTGATGAGGGATTTCAATGTACTCAGCCTGTTTTCCCAGAGCTGTTCCCAAGCAGGTCAAATGATCCTACTTAATGGAGTTAACTGCTTCTTTGAGAGATAGAGAATACAGGTGGCTTCCATGGAATACTACAGTCTTGCACGTGCATGTGCACCCCCCCACACACACACACACACATAATCAGAAGTAGAATAGACATTATAAACTACTACAGTCTTGCACGTGCATGTGCACTCCCCCCCCACACACACACACATATAATACAGAAGTGGAATAAACATTCTAAACACAGAGATGAAATTCCATTTTGTAAAAAATCTCTTAGTAAACTGGTGGTAGACTTATTAGAACTGCATCAGAAAATAGAATGATTATCATCTCAACAATTCTTTTTTAAAAATATTTATTTTTTAGTTGTAGTTGGACACAATACCTTTTTCCATTCATTTATTTTTATGTGTTACTGAGGATCGAACCCAAGGCCCTGCATGTGCTCTACACCTGAGTCACAATCCCAGCCCCATCAACAACTTTTTATTTAGTATAAATATTATTGACACCTACCAGGAAAATTTTTACACATTTGAACTGGCATGAGAAAAAAGAAATTATCATTTAATTCAGAATGACAGAGAATAGTTTATTACCACAGAATAAAAATAAGAAAAATCTTCTACACCGGTGTTCTCAAATTTCAATATGCTTCAGTCACCTTGGAGATTTATTAAACGCAGATTGCTGGGAACTGCCCTCACAGAGTTTCTATGTCTGGAATGAGGCCTAAGAACTGCATTTCTGACAAGTTTCCAGGTACTGCTGCTGATAAGCCCGCAGCCATATTTTATTTATTTATTTATTTACTTTTTAGTTGTAGTTGCACACATTACCTATATTTTATTTATTTATTTTTACATAGTGCTAAGGATTGAACCCAGGGCCTTGCGTGTGCTAGGTGAGCCACCAACCCCAGCCATGTTTTTAAAACCACTATTTTGATGTAATTAAATATATATAGGAAGAAACAATTATTCTTGAAGTAATTAGAGGGGTGAAGAACATCAGGATATATGTCATGACCTACAGCATTATTAGTTTCCAAGTTTAGATTCACCAGGAACTCTCTCCTCCTCAGAACTAATGTTTTAATCCAGTCTTCCTTCACCTAAGGAAGGTGGAAATTTGAGATCCAGTTTCCTCTTACAAAAAAATACATATTGACTCTATAACACTGACAGTTTCAGGCATACTGAGGGATGTCTTGGAACATATCTTCCACAGATAAGGGGGGACTACTGAATTGCCATCCTAGGGAGTATGAGGTGATATCTTGTAGCTTTGCTTTGCATGCTCCTAATGACTGTGCTTATTAGCTATTTGTAGAAATGTCTGTTTAGATCCTTTACCATTTTAGTTATATCATTTGCTTTTTATTGTTGAGTTACAAGAGTTCTTTATAAATTTTAGGTATGATTTGCAAAAATGTTTCCCCACTCTGTGTGTTGTCTTTTTCCTTTCTTTATAGTGTCCTGTGAAGCTCAAACATTTTCTAATTTTGGTGTCCAGGTTATTTATTTTCTACTTTTATTGATTGGGCTAGTGTGTCACATCTAAAAAGCCTTCGCCTAATCCATGTGAGGTTGTATCTCACATGCTAGGTGAGGATGTGCCATAACACATCCTAATTTATATGGGTAAGCACCTGAACACCTTTTCCCAGGTGACCATACAAGGGAAATATGATCCTAGGCCATAGCTCTAGACCAGGTTGGGATACTCCTTCATTTCATCTCTTCAGGTAGACTTTGTATTAGTTCATATCATCACAAGAAGAAGGATGAACACAAATGAGCTATTTTGAGAGAGACCACACTCACATAACCTGTATTATAGCATATTGTTATGCTGTTTTATTATTAGCTATTATTAATCTATTAATATGCTAATTTAGAAATTATTGTAAGTATGTGTTATTGTAAGTATGTATATATAGGAAAAAGCATAGTATACATAGGGTTGAGTAATATTCATGTTTTAGACATCCACTGGAGGTTTTAGAATATATCCCTGGTAGATAAATAGGGACTACCATAAATAGAATGATGAGGAACTTCCCTCTTATCCAACAGTTCTTCTTGCTTGTGAAGTCATGAGAACTAGGTCAACAGATATTGGTATACAAATCCACAGATTATGTCCATAAAAAGAAGTCTACCAATCACAAAAGATTAAGTGCTGAAGTATAGAGCCACCACCACCAGAAGTCAAAGTGGAAATTTAGGATAAAACTGTGAAGGAACCTCATCCAACATACTATTTTTTAGATTTTTTTATTATTTTTTTATTGGTTGTTCACAACATTACAAAGCTCTTGACATATCATATTTCATACATTAGATTCAAGTGGGTTATGAACTCCCAATTTTACCCCAAATGCAGATTAGATTTTTTTTTCTTTTCAAATTTCAGGTGGTTTTTGCTCTTACAGAATTTGTGATAGAAAATCTTGGAAAACAGTTTATAGAGCCACCACCTGTGGACCTGCCTACCCTATACCAAGACATGTCATATAACACCCCCCTGGTGTTCATCTTAAGCACAGGCTCAGATCCCATGGGTGCATTTCAGAGGTTCGCCCGGGATAGCGGATATTCAGAACGGTAAGGTCACATTGTGCAGTTTTTACCTCTTTGTTAATTTGTCTTTGTTCTTACCTACTGTGGAGCATGAACACTACCATTCCAATATTTCACTAAAAAAAAAATTAAGATGTGTTAATATTTCTCTATGTATATTATTAAAATGAAATAAAAATTATAAAAGCAGGTATAAACTTCATTTGAGCATAATGATTGTTTTAAGTCTTAAAGTATAATAATGAAATTGAACAGTGATTGAACCGTTTTTAGTATTTAACATATATATATATATATATATATATATATATATATATATATTTTTTTTTTTTTTTGCAATAATGGGGATTAAACCCAGGGGTGCATTACCACTGAGCTACATTCCCCAAACCTTTTTTATTTTTTGTTTTGAAACAGGATCTCACCAAGTTGCCCAGACAGGCTTTAAACTTGTAATCCTCTTGTTTCCACCTCCTAAGTAGCTGGGTCTTTCTCATGATAGCTTCCAGTTCTGATGCAGCCTGGTCCCAGGACTAAAAATTACAGGAGGATGAAAGATCCAATCTCTTCATTTGGAGCTTATGGTCTGCATAGAAATATATGTATATGTGTATATATGTACACACACATACACACATATAAACACATATATTATTATATGTGTATATATTTATATATGTGTGAATGTGGTCTCTCCAAATATCTTATATATACAAATATGATATATAGTATATATGTGTGTGTATATATGTGGGCATATATATGTGTACATATACATGTGTATGTGCACACATATGTTTAAATGTATATATGTAATAATATATAAATAATATATTTAATATATTTTAGTATAGTCAATATATATTTAAAATATATGTGAATATATAATATATGTGTGCATATATGTACACACATATGTTCATGCATATATGTATACACACATATATATTTTTTAATAAGGAATTGACTAAGAAGTCCCAAAAGCTGGAGATTCAGAAGAGTTGATAATGTGTAGTTCCAGTCTGAGTCCAAAAGCTTGAGATCCAGGAGAGCTGTTGGTACAAGTTCCAGCCCAAAAGTAGGCTGACTTGAGACACAATAACCAAGTGTCATTTGAGTCTAGTGGCCAGAAAAGACCAGTAACTCAACTCAATAGTTAGGATAAGTTCCTTTGTACTCAGCCCAGATGAGTGTTGAAAGCATGACCCAAAACACACACAGAGCCCACATACAAATCTTGGAGACTTCTTATTGTTGTCATTCTAGGCATTTAATGAAATCACTATTGAATTACTAGCTGATTACTAAGCCTACCAAATAGAGATGTCATGTCTACATGTCAGTATCAACATGCAACAAATAATACAATTTTTATAAAAGTGATTCACAAAAGTCAGTAAACAAACCATGAGTAGCAGCAACAAACACTGGAGAGGGAACAATCTGATTTTTATAGTTGCCACTTTATAATATTCAAAATGTCCACCTTTCAAAAAGCATTGTAAGATATTCAAGCAAACAAGAAGTATGGTCCATTTACAAGGAAAAAAAATCTTAACAGAAACTGAACCTGGTAAATGGTAGGCATTGAACCTACTAGATAAAAAAATGTATTTTATATACTTCCATTTTAAATGATATAGAATAATTATAATTTATAGGGTATTTAAATTTATAAATTGTAATTTATAGTGATGTTTCAGTATATTATACAATGTATAATGATCAAATTAGGGTAAATGGCATATCTGTCACCTCAGACATTTATTATTTCTTTGTGTTGGAATCATTCAAAATTCTCTTTAACCAGTCATTTGAAATAATTAATTGTTGTCAACCATAGTTATCCCAATGTGTTGTAGAACACTGGAGGTTATTCCTCCTATACAGCAGCACCCCTGTACTCATGAACCATCCTCTCTCCAACCCACCCTTTCACATCCTTCTCAGGCAGTAATAACCACTATTCTATTCTCTACTTCTTGACACTTTTACAAATAACAAAGAATATGCAATATTTTATAGACAAAAATTTTAAATCAATTATTTTAAATATACTCATAGCTAAATAAAACATCAACAAAGAACTAAAGGAAAACATGAGAATGATGTCTCATCAAAATAGAGAATATCAGTAAAGAGATAGAATTTATAAAAAGGAACAAAGTAGAAATTCTGGAGATTAAAATTATAATAATTGAAATTTAAAAGTCAATAAAAGGATACATATGGGAGGAGGCAGAAGAAAGAATCAGTAGAGAGAAAAATAGGTCAATTTAGATTCCTCAGCTTCTGAGGAGCAGAAAGGAAAAAAAGAAAGAAGAAAAATTTTTGAACAGAGCCCAAGAGACCTGAGAGATACCACCAACCCCACCAACACACACATAATGAAAGTACCAGGAGAGAAGAGGGAAGGAGATTCAGAAAAAATACCTGAAGAAATATTCTGTTTGAGCTGGTATGTTCTGATTCTCAGAACTCTCACTCAATAGGAATTATGCCAATGGCTTTCCTCATTCTTCAGTTTACAGAAGGCAGATTTTGGGACTGCATGGTCTCTATAATCACATGAGCTAACTCCCATTAAATTTATGTGTGTATCATGGGAAAACACACACACACACACACCACATATAGGTACACATATATAACATTGGTTCAGTTTTTCTGCAAAACTCTAGCACAGTAGGTATGAGATTTCTTTTTGGGATAGTGAAAATATTCTGGAACCAGACTGCAGTGATGATTTTCCAACATTGTGAGTATACTGGAAGACAGTGAACTGTGCACTTCTAATAAAAAAAAAATTAAGACACTATTAAAGAAGAAAAACAAGGTGAGAGAACTTTTTTATTACATGTCAAGATTTACTATAAACTTATTATAAAATGAGTTATTTAGATGTTGTGGCACCAGTGCAAGTCTAGACTAATAGATGAATGAAAAAAATAGATAATTCAGAAATGAACTCATGTACGTTGAGATCCTGTTTATGACAGAAGTCAGAGTGAGGAATAAAAAAGGATCTTTTCAATAAATATTCCTGAATTTGCTGGAACAGCCACACACAAAAAAATAATTTTGACATGTATATATAAGGCAAATATATAAAAGGAAAAATAATAACTAGAAAATAATATAAGAGAGTGTCATCCTGGGCAGTGACATTTTTTCTAAATACAAAAAGGTGATCATTTTTAAAAACTGATAAATTAGATTGAAGTACATTAACATATAGGATGTTTATTCATAAAAGGCAGTATTAAGAGTGTTTTAAAGAGACAAGTGACAAAGTGGGAAAAAATACTCGTAGTAAATATAACAGAGGGTTTATATCCAACCTAAAGAACTCAATACAAAAAAGCCACTCAGGAAGTACCACCCAAAGGGTAAACCCTAATCTAATCTATAGATTTTCATTATATAATATTATGTTGATATTACCTCATCAATCATAACAAATGTATCACACTAACACAGGAAGAAACTGGGGGAGGGAAAGGGAGCTATATGTTAACTATACACTCATTGTAAACCAAATTTTGCTCAAAAAATAAGTGCTGTCTATTAATTAAGACTAAACTCAAATAAGTTTGAGGCTGGAGAGGATAAAAAACAATAAAGGACATAGCCAAACAGTCAATTTAAAAAAGCAAACAATTTAAAACCTCAGTGAGACACCACTACACCAGACCTTAACCAAGAGGTGGAGAAAGAGAAACTCTCATCTACTGCTGGTGGAGGTATGGAATGCAACACCATCTTGGAAAACAGTTTGATATTACACAAAAGTTATATGTACACATACTCTGTCAAACAGCAGTTCCACCTCAAGAAATATTCACACAAAAAATGGAGTGCCAACATAAACCAAAAGGTACATACAAAATGTTTTTGAAATCTTAACACCAAAAAATCAAATAACCCAATCAATAAATGGACCAAGGAACTGAACAGACACTTCTCAGAAAATGATATACAATTAATCAACAAATATGAGAAAAAAAATGTTCAATATCTCTAGCAGGTATAGAAATGCAAATAATCAAAACTACTCTAAGATTTCATCTCCAGTCAGAATGGCAGCTATTAAGAATACAAACAACAATAAGTGTTGGTGAGGATGTGGAGAAAAAGGCACACTCATACTTTGATGGTAGGATTGCAATTGGTGCAGCCAATATGGAAAGCAGTATGGAGATTCCTTGGAAAACTTGGAATGGAACCATCATTTGACCCAGCTACCCCAAGGACTTTAAAACAGTATACTACAGGGACACAGCCACATCAATGTTTATAGCAGCACATTTCACAATAGCTAAACTGTGGAAACAACCTAGATGCCCATGAGTTGATGAATGGATAAAGAAAATGTGGTAAATATACACAACGGACTACTATTCAGCACTAAAAGAGAATAAAATCATGGTATTTGCAGGTAAATGGATGGAGTTGGAGAATATAATGCTAAGTGAAATTATCCAATCCCCAAAAAAACAAATGCTGAATGTTTTCTCTGATGTAAGGATGCTTATTCATAATGCGGGTGTGGCATGGGAGGACTAGATGAACTCTAGATAGAGCAAAGGGGAGGGAGGAGAAGGGAGGGGGCATGAGGGTAGGAATGAGATGGACATCATTACCCTAAGTACATGTATGGAGACACAAATAGTGTGACTCTACTTTGTGTACAACCAGAGATATGAAAATTTGTGCTCTATATGTATAATATGAATTGTAATGCATTCTGCTGTCATATATAACCAATTAGAATAAAAAATGTTTTTGAAGCATTGTGAAAAATAACAAACAAATAACTCAAATATTCAAGAATGAATAGTTAATAAATTGTAGTCTAAGAGCACCCTAGAATATTATGCAGCAATGAAAAATGCGTGGACTATAATAACACACAATAACATGAATGAATCTTTAAAAACATAATGTTGAAGGAAGAAGATGGGACTAGGAGGAAACCGGATTTCTCCTCACTCAGTAACCCTAGATGCAAGCATCAGGAATACTGTGAGATGGGTGAAAGAGGGATTTCATTAAAATTCAATACTGGACAGACGGAGTGCCTGAAGAAACATCAAAATCCTACCAACAAAGAAAAGCTCAGGAACAGATGGATTCTCAGCCCAGTTCTACCAAACCTTTAAAGAACTAATACCAGTCCTCCTCAAATCATTCCATTAAATAGAATAATCTTCCAAACTCATTCTATGAAGCTAGTATTACCCTGATGACAAAAACAGAAAAAGACACATCAAGGAAAGAAAATTTCAGACTAATATTCTTAATGAACATAGATACAAATATTCTTAATGAAATTAGCAAATCACATACAAAAACACATTAAAAATACAGTTTGCCATGACCAAGTGAGTTTCTTCCCAAGTATGCAAGGTTGGTTAAACATACAAAAATCAAAAAACATAATTCAATACATCAATCAATGGAAAGACAAGAATCACATGATTATTTGGATAGATGCAGAAAAAGCATTTGATAAAATGCAGCATCCATTTATATTTAAAACACTAGAAAAATAGGGATAGAAACAATATACCTCAACATTGCAAAAGCTATGAACAACAAATCCAAGGCCAGCATCATTCTAAATGAAGAAAAAAGTGAAAACATGCCCCCTAAAACCTGGAACAAGACAGGGATGCCCACTTTTACCATTTCAATTCAACATTGTTATTGTCAGAGCAATTAGGCAAACATTGTAATTGTCAGAGCAGTTGGGCAAAAGAAAGAAATTAAATGGATACAAATAGTAAAAGAAAAGCTCAAACTAGTTCAACTTTGTAATGACATGATCCTTTATTTAGAAGACCCAAAAAATTTTACCAGAAAACTTCTATAACTCATAAATGAATTCTGCAAGTAGCAGGCTACAAAATTAACAACCATAAATCATTGCATTCCTGTACTCCAATGATGAATTAGCTGAATGTGAAATTAGGAAAACCATCCCACTCACAATAGCCTCAAAAAAATATATAAAATACCTGGGAATTAATCTAACGAAAGAGGCAAAAGACTTCTACAAAGAAAATTACAGAACACTAAAAAACGAAATTTAAGAAGACCTTAGAAGGTGGAAAGATCTCCCATGTTGTCAGATAGGAAGTCAAAATGGCCATACTACCCAAAGTGCTATTCCATTCAATGCAATCTTCATTCAATTTCAATTTTCAAAATTCTTCATAGAAAGCAGGCATGAAATTTATTTGAAAAAATTAGAGACCCAGAATAGCCAAAGCAATCCTCAGCAAGAAAAGCAAAGCAGGAGGCAACACAATCTTGGACCTTAAATTTACTAAAGAACTATAGTAACAAAAACAGCATAATACTGGCATCAAAACAGACATGAAGAGCAATAGAACAGAACAGAAGACACAGAGACAAGCCCACATCAATACATTTATCTCATACTAGACAAAGGTGCCAAAAACATACATTAGAGAAAAGACAGCCTCTTCAACAAATGGTGCTGGGAAAACTAGACTCGGGTCCTTGTCCTTGCCCCAGTGAAATTGACTGATGGGGCCAGGCAATGAGGGGCTATTTAGGAAAGGTGGCTTGGTAACCAGTGAAGTCCAATGATTCTCCAAAGGAGCAGTTCCTCACCTTGATAGATAACACTGATAAAAGTGATTTCCAAGACTAATTGCATATTTATCATGTTCCCAGAAACCTGAGACCCCTAAAAAAGAGCTCTGGATATACTAGGATCATTGCTGGTTCTCTTGGTTCTGTACTTCTTTTATTTTATAAATATTAATTTTCTTTCTTTGGCCTAAGTCTGTTTTACTATTGTTTTTGACCACTCCATATGAAATATATTTCAAATTCAAGCAGTCTCCCATAATGGTAATATAAAACAGAAGTGATCCAGTGGACGATCCCATTAACTTGGCATTTGAAGACTATCATAGCATATTTACATTTTTAAAATATCTGCATTGCTTTAAAATAGTATAACACAGTCTCTTTTTTTTGTTCAATTCAGAGTGCAGTCAATTTCACTAGGACAAGGACAAGGACCCATTGCTGAGAAAATGATCAAGGATGCAATGAAATCAGGAAACTGGGTATTTTTGCAAAACTGCCATCTTGCTGTTTCTTGGATGTTAGCCATGGAAGAGCTAATTAAATCCTTCATAGATCCAAGTATGTTGAGCACATACATTTGCTTAATAATACCATTTTATCAAGTTCTTAGAGTAGATCTTTATTGTAGGCATTGTGTTTGCTCTTATAATAGATAAGAAATTTGAGTACTAGGCAGGTTCAGTTAAGTTACACAACTAGGATTCAAAAAACAGTCTTATTTCTTATTAAAAAAATTCTTATTAAGAAAAGTGCTACTACAAGCTAAACATTTTCCTTTTTTGTTGTTTTGTCTTTGTTTTAAATAGCTCATGTTATCAAGGACACTTTTCGACTTTTTCTAAGCTCTATGCCTAGTACTACATTTCCTGTTACAGTTCTTCAGAATTCTGTCAAGGTAATGTATGAACATGGTTGGAATGGGAATGGTTGGTCTCTGAGTGTTCATTTAGGAGCTTCATGGAGCTCAGACCTTGCACAGAACCACATTGAAGTTTATGTGGTCAGGGTGAGAAGGTGGATATCCATATCCTTTCAACTGATAAGCAGGTGGAGGAAATTAGGTCGCCAGTGAGTATCTTTGCATCTTCTAGTCCTGTTTGTCATTCAATTCTTCCAGCTCTTACCCTTCAAAAGAAAATGTTAAGTGTACAGTGAATGACAACACATCCTGTCCCACAGGAATGGGAATGTTTCAGCATTTGAGAAGAAGGCCTTCAGGTGGTATAGCTGCTGAATTTCAGTGCAGGAAGTTTCTAATATGTGGGAAGGAATGAGAAATAAGAGGTTCTTCTTTCCTCCCTGCCCTATGTCATGGGACAAAGTCTGGAATGATGTCATATTTTGAGATAACTGAAAAACCCAATGGAGAAAGTCTTAGCATGCTTTTTGGCCCATGTTTAGAAAAATGAGCACCAAATGGAAGTGTCTAAGGCTCTTATGCAGACGCTTCCAGTGTTCTAGATCTGAGGACCCCGCCAGGCCCTATTCTTCCTGGACTGTGGCTGAACAAGATACGAAGTAGGCTTGCACATTCCAGGAAGGCCCTTGTGGGAAAGTTAGCTAGATCATCTCAGTGTCTTAAGTCTGTGTGTATTATTCAGAAATAATGCAAGTCTATAAAATCACCCTCTCTTCTGGATATGTTCTATCTTAATCCAGGTGACCAATGAGCCTCCCAAAGGGTTACGTGCAAATATCAGGCGAGCGTTTACTGAAATGACACCTTCATTTTTTGAAGAAAATATCCTTGGAAGAAAATGGAGACAAATGATATTTGGCCTTTGTTTCTTTCATGCAATTATTCAGGTATATTTAATTCTGCTTTTTAATAGCAACAAAGATGTGTACTATCTTCTAAATAATTAAGTACTAAAAAAAAAAAATAAGTGAAAGCTTACGAATGGCACTGTAAAACACTAAGGACCCTATTCTGGATTTTAACCCAAGTTCTTTTAATTCAACTAGTGATCTATATACTCAGTTTGCACGAGTATCTCACAGCTATACTGGCTCCCACCTACATGCTATATGCCCACAGAACACCATCATCTAAATCAATGGAGTAGGGCCAACTCAACAAATACAAAACTGATCTCCTCAACTCAACCTCACACTCAAAATCTGCTTTCCCTCCTGTTTTAGTCAGCTTTTTACCTGCTGTGACTAAAGGATCTGACCAGAACAACTATAGAGGAGGAAAAGTATATTTGAAGGCTCATGGTTTCAGAGGTCTTAGTCCATAGAAGTTCAACACCATTCCTCAGGGCTCCGGGTGAGGCTGAACATCATGGCAGAAGAGTGTGGGTGGAGGGAAGCATCTCCATCACTGACAGCAGCAACCAGAGAGGGAGAGATCAAGTCCACCCTCAAGATACAGAATGTATACCCCATAGATACACCCCAATTTCCACCTTCTCCAGCCGTACCCTACCACTCCAGTTAATCCCATCAGGGATTAATTCACTGATTGGGTTAAGACTCTTACAACCCAATCATTTCTCCTCTGAACCTTCTTGCATTGCCTTGAGCTTTTGGAAGACACCTCACATCTAAACCATAACACCTCCAGTCTCTAATTCTGAAATCATGGTTCCATTCTCTCAATTAGTGACAATCAGAACTTCAGGATTATTTTTATTCGTTCACTTCACCCATATATTTTTGTCAACCATCAAGACCTCCGTGTTAATTTTACAATAATTTCATTTTTACTTGTTCCTTTGAGTGGACTCACTAACCTAGTGACCTCCTCTCCATATATTACTGAAGCCCCAAGTCCCCCAAAAGATGACCCTCAACCCAGCAACAGTCTCCTTCCCCTGATCCAGACTCTGCTTGGTATGGTATTCATATCTGTGACCTTGTACTCTAATTCTGACTCTCCAACTACGTATCATTAGGTGGTGTCTTGATTAGACTGGTCTTCAACTGTGTGTGTTCTGTAGAAAGAGAATCAGTAAAGAAAAAAAGAAGATTAAAGGTGCAAGATATGGGATAGATAAACAAAAGGGTCCTAGAAGAGGTCTGAGAAATTGGAAATCAGAGGCTCCGGCTATCAGGAGCTCTTTTGCTGTTCCACTAATAAAAGCTGCCAAGATGAGGAGGTAGTTTAAGAGCAGTGAAAATTCAAGATCAAGAGAAAGGAACTTGGGACCAATAATTGTCAGTTTAGAATTAAGAAATTAAGGTAGGATAAGAAAATAGCAAAGAGGGAGGGATATCATAAAACAAAGATAATGATTATGTACCATTTTCTTTTTAAAAATCACCATGGAGAAGACAGTATGTAATAAGCATAATATGGTAATGACAGAAAGCCCTGAATAAAACTCCTTATAGGAGTAGGGAATAGTTCTCTCTCACCAGATATATAATTATAGCATCAGTATTTTTATGCCAAAAGACTCTAAATAAGATTATTTTTCCTGTTATGACAGGGAAATATTTTATTTTACCCTGAAAAACAGATTTTTTTAAAAAACAGATCTGATGAATTTCTAGTAATAACAAATTTTCTGTAGTAAATATGGGGAGGGTCCAGTATTGAAGAAGATGTGATCCTCCTCTTTGGTGAAAGCCTGGTTAAAGTTGAACTGCATGACTTTAATTGATTTTGCAGTGTAGGAATGCCCAGTTTTAATATTCGCCTTTTCTTTTTCACTATTTTAAACATAATTAATTTTATCATATTTTATTTCAGACTATTTATTTTCTATTCTAGGAGAGAAAGAAGTTTGGGCCCCTTGGATGGAATATATGCTATGAATTTAATGACAGTGATAGAGAATGTGCTCTACTGAACCTCAACCTTTACTGCCAAGATGGAAAGATTCCCTGGGATGCACTGATTTACATTACTGGTCAGTATGTCCATGTGGCCAGGGCATCCAGCTGTGGACCACAGAGTTGTTGATTCATCCCTACTTGACCTTTATGAAGATGGGGTCCTCCCCCAGTGTTTAGTGGTGATAATGATGCCTCTTGAAATTCTCTCTGTGAATTTAAGATTGTGATAAGCATATCATGAAGAATATTTACACATAGAAAATTGAAAAGATGTTTTCCCCAATAACAATAGTATAGAAAACACATTGCTCTTAATTCATGCCAGGCTCTATTGTAAGCATTTCTCATGAATTAGTAAATTAAATCCTCACAGCAGCACTATTAGTATCATGGGTGAAAACCTTGCAGGAGCACTTCAATGATGAATGGTGACTTACAGCGATGAATCTGGAATTTTCCAAGGAATTATATCAGCATTAGATATCATTCCAGTATGGTTCCTTCCTACTCATAATTTTGGGATGACAATGAAGCATACTGAAGGTAGCTTCTCTGTGGACAGAGAGAGTATAAAATAAGTTTTTTTATTGGTTGTTCACAACATTACAAAGCTCTTGACATATCATATTTCATACATTAGAATCAAGTGGGTTATGAACTCCCATTTGTACCCCAAATACAGATTGCAGAATCACATCGGTTACAAGTTTTAATTCCCCCTATCATAATTTATGTGAGGCAAGTTCTCTATGTCATCATGGATCTCTTTCCTCCAAAGCTTGTCAGCAACAATTTGTAAAGTATGTATAGAGTTTAAATGTCGTGCTACAAATGTTTGGTTCTATTTTATTTGTGGACCCTGAGTGGAAGCACTGTTTCATACAAAGTGTGTATATTTTAGAATGTTACAGTAAAGGAAGAGATATGACTCAAAATGAATATTTTTGAAGCAAAACAAGAAAAAGGAAAAAGTATGTAAATAGAGATCAGTGACTTTAGCTTTTTTGGAAAAAGCAAAATTACTAGGATAATATACATGTACTAGATTTTTTTCTGATTTATTCTTTTTTGAGGGGGTAGTGGGAGGAAATTTTGATGTGTTTTTTCCATTTTAAGTACCAAATAAACCTATTATAATTAAGCTATGTTTGTCAATTTAAAAAAATAATACATTTAAAAATGCAAACTCCTTTTCAGGTGAAATTACATATGGCGGTAGAGTTACAGACACATGGGATCAAAGATGCCTTCGTACTGTCTTGAAAAGATTTTTTTCTCCAGAAACATTACAAGATAGTTATCAATATTCTGAATCAGGTGAATGACATTTGAATTTTTTCTCAAGAAGCCATTGACAGCATCTTTCAGTTTTCCATCCAGGGGGACCTCTGTGTCTAATCCTTACAACTCAGTCCATTCCCACACTTGATACCTTCAAAGCCAGTTTGATAGTAAAAGCACAAATATACATATTTTACAGTAAATACTTTGAATTATTTCTGTATTAAAATTGATTTTATTATGTCTAAATATGTTTTCAAAGTTATATTTTAGAATATTTTGGATGTAATTAAAGAAAATTTCCAATATGGAAAATTTAATTTAAAAAACAGATCTATGAATTGGTAATAGCTCATCAAGGGTCAAAAAGCAGGTAAATTAATTGTCCTAATCCCCTTGGAGGGAGCAATCTGATTAGGACAGTAAGCTCATAAAAGCTTCTACCACTGAGAAGTAAATCATTGATTACATTCAAGTTCTATGTTGTCATCACTAGGAAAATTTGAGTAACACCACGTTTCAACGTTTTGCATTTGCTTTGAGGAATTAGAGAAGATCATCATTGTTTATCAAACAGAATGTGAAAGTATTTCTAATACAAGCATAAATTTGGAGCTCTTAAAGAGGCATACCTTTCAGCACTGTGTCCCTGGATTCTCAGAATACTTAAACATTCCAAAGGAGACATCCTGAAAAGTTAAGACACTAAATTGATGCTCAGGGTGTCAATAAATAGTAACAAAACTAGACACATCAATGAAAGCAAGGAGATTTAGAAAAAACAATCTCCTTTTCACAAGAGAAGATATCATCTGAATGAGGCAGTGAAGAACCAAAGTTAGCAATGCAGAGTTAGTTTTTTTAAGACATGTTTTCCTTCTGTTTTTAATAACAGGCATATACTTTGCACCCTTGGCTGATAACTTACAAGAATTTAAGGATTACATTGAAAATCTGCCTTTAATAGATGACCCAGAAATTTTTGGAATGCATGAAAATGCCAACCTGGCTTACCAGGTATGTGGCCTTTAACTGAAAACATTTATTTATTTTGTATATATAAATTCAAAACATCAATTGTCACCTCACCAGCTTTGTGACTTATAAAATATCATTAAGTAAGTAAGTAAGTAAGTAATTTTTTCACCTTATATTCAACAGTAGTTCCAATTTAGACAGCTCTCTCTGGATCCTTTACAGAATACTAAGATTATATATTTTTCCTATCACCAGCCAACCCCCTCCATTTCCTCTATCCTCAGGCCTCCTGTTTAGTTCATAATTGTTTTAGTTAGCTTTTTCATTGCTGTGACCAAAAGACCTAACAATAACAACAAAGAAGAGCAAAAGTTTACTTTGGCTCACAGTTTCAGAAGTTCAGTTCATAGTTGGCTAACTCCATAGTTCTGGGCCTGAGGTGAGGAAGTACATCAGTGTGAAAGGGTGTGTTAGAAGAATGCATCTCAATGACAACCAGGAAGCATAAAGACAGCTCCACTCACCAAAGACAAAATATAAACCCTAAAGACACAACCCCAGCAACCTACTTCCTTCAGCGACACTCTATCTGCCTATAGAGGCCACCCAATTATGAGGATCCACTGATCATGTTACACTTCTAATAATCTAATCATTTTACTTCTGAAAATTTTTGTGTTGTCTCACATGTGAACTTTTTGGGGGACACATAACAATAACCTACCTACTCACAGTCACCAGAACATGGGGATTCAGATAATAATATAGTCCTTTCTCTGCTGTCCTTCTCCCTCCATACTGGGTGCTTTTATCACATTATACAAAGGCTTGAATCTCTACATGATTAAATGATAAAAGTCCAGAAATATATTTAAAAATTCAAACTCTTCTTCACATGAAATTATATATCGTAATTTGTACATGATTAGAACATAATAGTATAGTTGCAAATGCTCATAGCGGTAAGTCCAAAGAACAAACTGGATTATTATACTCCTCTGGGCAAGACTTTCTGATGCTACATCATTACCTACAAGTAGTCAAAACTCCTAGGCATGGCACTTGAGGATCTCTCATGACCTGGACACTACCTACTCTTTCAAGTTCATCATCCACCATGCACAGATATCCATGGTGAACCAAAGCCTTGAAAAGAAGGGTGTGCCCCTGTGGGGCTTTGGACATCTCTAAAGCTTAAATATTTAGCCTCACAAGGCTAAGGAGATCATCTTTTGACATAAATTTTGCTGCTGGAAATGTTAGAAGGTGAAGTCTGCCTAGACATCAAGGAATCCACACAGAACAACAGTGGAACCTCCAGAGACAGCACAGAAGGGTCATTGTTTTGACACCTGATTTTATGTCCTCTACCAGTGAAATTGCTTTGCCTTTCAGCAAGGAGTTAGAATAATGCATCATGTTTTTCCTTATCTTATTTTCAGGAGAAAAAAAAACTGGTAGCAAAACTTCTGTCAATATATTTCCCCCTTCTGGTTGTTTGCTGTAGAAGGGGAAAGGAAGCGTGAGGTTAAAAAGGGAGGGTATAAGAAGGAAAAAGTGAGTGTGGATATGGTTATGCTAACAGCAGAAAGATAGCACTGTTGGTAGGGGTAAAACTCTTGGAAGAGTGTACCAGAAATGTAGATTTTTGTGTTTTCCATTGGTTTCAGAATGACTGAGAGAGAAGGTATATAGTAGGCTCCCAGAGGTGTTTTTCTATGCGCAGCCTCCCTTCCTCCATTTTTCTGGATTAATACATGACCCACCCTGACCTCTTTCTTTGGAGCAACTGCCCCTTCCCCATTGCACAAACTTCTGATAAGACTTCCAACCACTCTCTACCTGAACAGAGGTGGATATGTGACACAGGCCTGGACAAAGGCAGTCAGTGTCCCATCCCTTAGCCACTCTAGCTCATCCAAGGTGTACATATACAACCAAGCTAGGTGAATGACAGTCTTTTCCTGAGATAACATACACAGATACAGGTTGGCAGGAGGGTGCTCTCTTTTCTCTAGAATCATTGGCTAGATGCTATATCTCTCAGCCACCTGTGATCTTGTCCCTTATACTTCATCTCTTCCTGTCAACCACATGCAAGAAGCCCATATTCATTAAGAAAGAATTCTGAGAGCCATTGAGAGAGGAAACAGTTAAAGCATGAGCAAGAGAGAGTGTTGTTAGATCCATTCATGCCTGTATAGGGGAGGCAAAATTTTATTTCTACACTCTTAGGGTCTAAGAATTAAATTGATATAATATAGATTAACAGGAGAAAAACTTACAATTTAATATAAGCTTTTATTTCATTAAGGAAGCCCCAAAGAACTGGTAAAACCTATATGGCTATGTGTTAGGTTGAACAAAGAGAGGCAATTAATGATAGGAAAGTACCTTAATTATGTTGGGTGGCTAAAGAAGATTAGTGTGGTCAAGGTCTGTTTATACAACAAGCTCTTGACAATGAGAATGTTTCTTTTCTCCTGGTTCAGGGAGGATACCTTTCATATAAGGAGATTTTCTGTTTTGTTTTCAGAAAGAAAAGGGGAGATAAGAACGTCCTTCCATCTGCTGTTTCCCAAGTGGCCTTTAGTTTATGGCAATCCTTAGGTCAAAGTGGCTTATTTTAGAGCAGCATATTCTGCTACCATTCATCTGAGACTCACATTAGGTTAGGTAATTCTGCCTGTTGCAATCAATAAAGTCTTGGCACAAAATTTATAAATTATTTCTTCTACCCAGCAAGTTACATAGATGCCTATCAGAAACTAATAAAGGGCTGGGAATGGTCAGGGAAGGAGATTGTTCTACACATTCAGAACATATGTTGGTAGCTGTCTTTCCTGCTGTCTGAGCCCCAATTTTGCATTATATTGCCAAAATGTCACTTTCTTATAGCTGACTCTGAACAAGGTGAATGTGAAGGGGAAATAAGTTGTTATGAGAATGAATTATAATGTCCCTATGAATAACAGTCAGATAACAGCCAACCAGAGAATCAAGGTTGCTGTCTCAAACATCCAGTTCTACTTGGACAATGGAGACAAGTCAGCTGTATTTATGAGACACCTAAGGCATCCTGACGGTATCCTCATGCCTGACAAGTAATCTTTTGTTTGTTTTAATAAAATAATTTTTTTAACATTTTTATTTTATAAATTTTTATTGGTTCTTTTTTAGTTATATATGACAGCAGAATCCATTTTGATATATTATACAAGCATGGATTATATCTTATTCTTGTTAAGAGTCCCATTCTTATGGATATACATGGTGGGTGGGATTCACTGTGTTGTTTTCATATAGGTACACGGGAAAACTTTGTCAGATTCATTCTACTATCTTTTCTTTTGCTTATCCTCCTGACAAGTAATCTTTTTAAAACTTTATTTATTTATTTTAACTAGGTATATATGACAGCAGAATGCACTTTGACTCATTGTACACAATTACAGCACAACTTTTCATTTCTCTGATTGTACAAGATATAATGTTGTACCATATGTGCAGTCATACATGTACCTAGGGTAATAATGTACATCTCATTCCACCATCTTTCCTGACAAGTAATCTTTAGAGCCAGTTGCCATAGAATTCAAATTTCTGCTGAGCAAAGCTGTTCTGTTCTTGAAAAACCATATGGGCCCAGAAATGGAGGGACTCTGTACTGGCCAGCTGCTGGGTCTGTCATTCTGCTGGAGAACTTCCACTTTCCTATAAATGAAGAAGGAAAGGGAAAAGATGGTTCTGGGAGCAGGGTTAAAGCCAAAATAGAAGTTTTCTGAGGTTTGCTTTCCAAGCTCAGGAGATTTTTTTTATCAGTGGTGCCTTGGGCACTACTCATTCAGTCCACAGTCTCATGGTGTGATCAATTTGTCACAGAAGGCTAGTGGGGTTTTGTTGCTGTATGTTTGTTTGTTTTTATGAAGAAGGAATTGAAGTACTTTGCCAAGAAGGGTAGTTTGCCTTAGGGAGCCTAAGCTAAAGTTGTAGACAAGATCCAGCTGATCAACAATATACTAGAAAAAGTCAATGAAATGATGTAAGGAATGTAGTAGGATAGCTTGTCTTTCTTACTAATCAATGAGCATGAAGATGAAGTAACATGAGATGAATAAACTATAGAGAGCTTAAATTAAATTAAAACTTAAATGTATATTTATTTCTATAAGGTAAGCTATATGTGCTGTAAATTACTTTTTGGGAAATTTGAGTCGTCAGTGTTCTCTCTCTTACCATCATTATAGTACAAAGAAACCAACACTTTAATCAATACCATACTTGATGTTCAGCCAAGATCATCTGCTGGTGGACAAGGAAAAAGCAATGATGAAATTGTCCAAGAGCTTGTTTCTTCTGTCTGGACCAGAGTTCCAGGTAATAAATAATTCCTTGCATCTGTATAAAATGGGAATTATAGGAATTAACTCAGATAATTGAGTGGTAGGCAGATGTTCAGACCTCCTTATTACATAGACTTTGCTTTGCCAAGAGAGCTTATCTGACATGGAGTTCTCCACTTACCAACTAGAAACCTACATTTCTTAAACATACAGATGCCAAAAGTATTAGGAGCCAATTCTAGTCCCATGTAACTTTAACCAGACATTGTCCCAAGTTTTCCTTGGCTTCATAAATTCTAACGTCTCTAGACCTGCCCTGTCCAAGGCAGTACCCACTAGCCACATGTGGCTACTTAAACTGAAACTTAGATTAAATAAATTTAAAATTTAATTCCTCAGTTGCACTATTCACATTTCAAGTGGGCAGCACAGAGGGAGAGCATTTCCATCATCATTCGAAGTTCAATTGAACAGTCCTTTCATTTTTCCCCATTCAAGAGAAATGGCTGTCACTTTCACCTTGACTTCTGATGAGTTAAGGAACCTGCCTGAATGATCACAAGAGATCCACCCTCATACTTTTCTTGGAGTGGCCATAATTTATACTCCAAAATTTAGTTGCTCATAGTTGGAAAAGATAATAGGAAAAAGAAAACCGAGGAGGAAAAAAACAGTTACTGAGTCCTGACATTACACTTAAGACCCCCAGAAGAAAAGCAACCATGTGACCTCAGAACAAGCCAATTATCTACCCCAAAAAGGAGCAGTCCTACAAAAAAATCTACATGGGTAGAGAGTTTGATGTTGAAGTAGAGCCAGTTATTTTGGGAAGCAATTTCTAATCAAATTTAAGATAGAAAGCTGTGGAAAAGAGATGGGTAGACAAATGAATGACTGCAGAAGTCATGAACTTGTTTCACAGAGTCTCATTGACACTGAGGAGGTTTTTCTCTCCAAGTTTCAGGAAACTTATACTATTACTATGAAAATAATAAGCAGTTCATCTGCTGAGCCTGAGGTGCAATTGGCTCAACAAAAGAACTGAGGGTTTGGAATTTCCCCTGAAGGGAATGGCAGACAGGGACTACCAGACACATGTAACTGTAGTTCTATGGACCCAAGAGATGGGACTAACTATACTACTAGGTTATTTTTTTCTCCAGCAGCCAAATTGTGGGTTCTTAAGAAGGAATTTGATGTGCATATTTTGGAGCCCACTTTCCTTAAATATGCAAGGAAAATGCAATTCTTCTTTTTTTATAGTTCATGTGGTTCCTCATCTAAGTCTCCATTTGGTGAATTATAAGGGGAAAAAAGATCTACTTTTTCTTAATCCTGATGGAACCATGAGCCTATTTAATAATTCCACTAATTCCTTTAAATAATGTTTAGCAACTTGGGATAAATGTTGAGTCTCTCACATCTCTGAGTCTCCCACCACCAAACCCTCCTCTCCTGGATACAGTATAGATATGCAGGGAAGAACAAGGCTTACATAATCATAAGGTAGAGGGGAAGACATGGATCCCTGGCCCCTCTAAGCTCTGGAATGCCCCTTGTCTATCATGTAGCTGCTTCGACCTGCAAGCATTTGCCACTGAAGTCTCTAGGGCCCTGTCTCTCACTTATCCAAAGCTAGGCACACAATCTCATGCCCTCTAGCCAAGCAACCTCTGGAGAGTCTTTCAGACAAACCCTTCACTCAAGGTAGCAGGAACCACTAAGTCATGCTGGCCTTCTGCTTCTTTCTCTTGTCTCTCAATCCTTCTCCTCATCTCCATAGTCATCCAGAATGAAAAGGAGTAGTCTTTTCTTTACTGTCTTTTGTTCATGTCCTACTTACATCAGCACAGTCTCTCTTTATCTTACTTAAGCAATCAAGGACCTATCACCTGTCTCAGAGTCAGAAACCACATACTGGCACAGATAAAAATACCCATGGTGAGAAATAAAATGTGCTAGTATAATGCTTTTTATGTGTATACACACACACACACACACACACACACACACACTCACTTTTCCTCTGATACACATGAATTTAAGCTTGAATTTCTGTGATTGCTTCTATGTAAATGGGTGAATCACCAAAGAGTTATAAATTAAAGAAATGTTGTCACATTTAAGCCATGTGTGTCTATTCTTAAATAATGAAAGAAGTTGACTTTAGAAAAAAATGTTAAGATAAGCACAGGATACTAGAATGTAATGAGAACAGAAATCAATGATGACTGATCTGAGGAGTCAGCTGTATATGTTTCAGAAACACTGGAAATGGAGGGTGCTTCTGAGAGCCTTTTCGTTAAAGATCATCAAGGACGCCTGAACTCCTTAACCACCGTTCTTTGCCAGGAAGTGGACCGGTTTAACAATCTACTAAAGTTAATACATGTATGAGAGCTCATCTACATCATTGCTACTGGGTATCAAAACCTTGTAGGGAACTATATAATATAAGTGATATAAGTGTCCTTAGTGTTTTCAATTCCCATCACTTCACCATTTCCATTTGGATGTGCTAATAACTCTTCAGATCCAGCTTGTCTATTGAATTTATTCTCCTCTAAAAAGTCTGTATTCCCTTTTTCTAATAGTGACTGAGTGGTATGTAACGTTACAAATTCTTAGTCTCTCTATTATCCTTAGAATTCCACTGACAAACTAGAAATTGATCAGGGGCTTATGTTCTCAATTGAAAGTGAATCAGTACTTGTTTTCACTGTCCACTTTGCATTTAATAATATAATTTTTATGCAAGACAGTGAAAACCAAAATTTCTCAAAGTGTGGGCTACAGATTGCCTGCACTAGAATCCTCTGTGGTGTGTGTTCAAAATGTGGATTCCTGAAAATGAGCACAGCAGCAGACACAAGGAACCAGCCTGAGCAACATAGCAAGATCTTATTTCAAAAAGAGAGAGAAGAAAGAAAAGAAAAAATATATTCCTAGAGCATATTTCAGACCTGCTTAATCAGAATTTCTTCAAGTGTAGGGCCTGGGAATGTGAAGCTTTTCTTTGTTTTCAGTAATGTAGGAATTGAACCCAGGGCCTCCCACATTCTAGGTAAGTGCTCTACCACTGAGCCACACCCCAACCCCATGAGTTTTAAGTAAACTCCCCAGATGATTTCAGTACAACTAAAATTTGCAAATTGTTAGATCATTTGCCTTGTATTCACAGATTCATTCCCTCCCCCAACCCACCATCTCTCTTAAGATTGCCTCTCATTTTATTGATGGCCAAAGGACTTCCTAATTTCTCTGTGTGTATCTTTGATGAGAAAAGAGAAAATACTATTATAATTCAAGTGTGGACCCTTAACCAGATAGTATTACTATTCAGCAGGGAACCTAACACCTGGCCAATGGGCAGGACTTGGGGATAAGTCGGGGAGAACTGAGTTAGATTTTTTTTAAAGTCAAAGACCATTTCTGTCCCCTATTGAGAAAAATGTCTCCATTTGTTGCTGCGTGGCTTGACTTGTTAAGTGGGAACTGGATCAGATGAATGTGTGAAGTTCTCACCTTAGGACCATGGCTCCTCAACATGTACATTCCAATGTCAGTCAGGTGACTAGTCAGTGTTTAACACCTTTTCTATTGAATGAATAAAGGTACATGTTATGTTACTGTGATAAAACTGTCAATACAGTACAAAACAAGGTGGAAATTCACTTTATTATCCCTTCACACTCCAGAGAAAGCCCTATCTAGGGCAGGTAACTCATTCTGCTTTGTGAGTTCTTCCACGGATAAGCAGGTTGGCTCTTGCAGCCTCAACAGGTAACTTCCATCTTAGGGACTAGATGCCTGCTCCACTAATATCTTTCACCAGCCTGTGAGAAAGAAGAAAGGGAGAGCCAAGGAAAAGCAGTTTCCTTAGAAAATGGTGATCTAAAAGTTATATATGTCATTTCTTCTTGTAGTCCATTAGCCAAAACTTGGTAATATGGCTACACCCCAACCACAAGAGTGGCTGAGAAATATAGTTTCCAGGAGGCTTGTCATGTGCCTAGCCAAAACTAATGGGGTGCTGCTGTCTAAGGAAGAAAAGGAGATGGGTGCTGCTCATCTTCTGCCTTTTCCAGATTATGATACTTCACCTAATTGAAGATGTCAAAGATGTTACTTCTCCATAATGTGTTCCTGGAACACCAACACTTCCCTGTACCACCAGATGATCTATAAGCCCTTTTTCAGGGCTCCAAAATTTCAGCTGTCTCTACCATTGTACTTAACAATACTTTTTTTTTTTTTTTTTTTTTTTTGTATATTACCCTAGGAATATCACTGCTCCAACAAAAACTTCTTAAAACAGGGAACTGGTGTATTGGTCAATTTTACTTCCTTAGTAACTGACATACTAAATCATCCATAAATATTAGAATGTATAGTGAATTAATGTGATTTCTAGCCTCAGATCAAATTCGGTTACTCCCACCCCTGCAAGTTGACCCTGTACGGGACACCTTCTGCCTCCTGAACTCTGTCCAGTCCTGCCTTGCCCTGGCTTTGTCCCCTTCACCTTGCTTTGGGAGCAGCAAGGCAGCACTGTGCTGGAAATCAGAAAAGCCAAGGAAAGGAGGCAGCACTTGGAGGCCTTGAGGGCTGCCATCCTGGAGAGCTTACTTTCCTCTAGACAACTTCAGAACTGTGAGATGGGTCAGGTCCTGGGGGCAAGGACCCCCTCACCCCTGCTATTGAGGCTTCTAGCTGTAGGGAAAGGGAAGCATTTAAAATATGCTATGCTTTTTCCCATTTAAAACATATATGTATTAGCTGCTTCCTTTGGGCAATATCGTTGCCCCATGGCCTCTGTCTGCCTTAAGCAGGCCTTGAAGGTCCAAGAGTCTTTTCCCTCTATTTTTCTCATTTCATGTTTCTCTTTGCTACCTTCCACTTCTACTCTAAGCTAGAGAATTGTCTTGGTCTCCTTCCTTCCTGCACTCTGTTGCAGATGGTTCTTCAGATCCTAAGACAAATTAATTGGAAGACCCCCGACCTTTCTTTTCCTCCCATTGCCTCTTGTGTAAAGAGGTGCCAAGAGGAGGGGACCAAACTTAACCTAAGAAGGAATGAAAAGATACTGAGCCTTGTTTCATCCACACATGACCTGTCTCTACGACCATGTGCATTTGATCCTTAGGCCTTATTTTTTGTTTAATCAACATAAATTTTGCCTCTAAAGTCTAACTATTATATTTTCTCAAGATATGGCAGTTTTCACAAGCCTGAAACCCAGAAGGGCCATCACCAATCTATGTACTCTGCCTTTGTCATTAGCCAGGTAGCAAATGTCACCCTGTATTCCCTGTGGCTGCCGCCAGCCCAGCATCTCCCAGGACCACTGCCTGCTTCTGCCTTTTGTTGAGGAAGAAAGGGTAAAAGAAATGTTTTAAGGAAGTGATTGCAGCACAAAGAGACCCTCTGATATCAGCTTCTATAAAGCTTGGGGATTTGGGCACCCCCTAATAAGTCTATTCTATTTATTTCTCAGCCTCAGGAAAATACTCTCCTATTTCCCTTCTTTCCACTGGAATTTGCTATTAACTACCTAAAATTTCTCCTATCCCCAAGTCACATGTTATAATATATAAAAATGTATGAAATAGTTGTGCAGGTGGCACACTCTTTTGGTACCAGAAATTTGGGAGGCTTAGGCAGGAGATAGCAAGTTTGAGGCCAGCCTCAATAACTCAGCAACTTTGTGAGACCTTATTTCCAAATAAAAATGACAAGGACTGGGGATGTAGTTCATGCACTGTAAAACACCCTCAGGTTCAAACCCCAGTACCCCAAAATAATGTATGAAATATTGCAGCCTGACCCAGAAGACAGTGTGCAAAAAGGATGGAAAACAGCCAGTAGGCCCTTTGTGTCATGAATGTCATCTACACTTGATAATTATATCTGTAACAGGACACCAATCTTTCTGTACTTTTAGACTTCCCTAGATACACTCAACAAAGCCATTGCTGGATTAGTGGTGATGTCTGAAGAAATGGAAAAGGTGTACAACAGTTTCCTTAACAATCAGGTTCCTTCTCTGTGGTCCAACACAGCATATCCATCCCTGAAGCCACTAGGATCATGGGTCAAAGACCTTATTCTGAGGATTGCATTTATGGATGTAAGAAAATTCTCTTCTTTGTAATTTGATAAATCTCATGTGGCCAGCCCTAAGATCCCTGGGAATCTCTGGCTGACAACTATTGAGATATCATCTAAGCCCAGAGAAATAGAAACTACTAGAATGGCATGACTTTGAAAGTTTTGTACTGATTGTATCATTTTCTCTAGGTTCTTAAAACCTCATGTTCAGTTTTAATCCCAGTCCATTCTTGGGGTCTTAGCTGTGCATGGGACCCCACTGTAAGGTACAGAGCAAATCCAACATGGGTCCAAAAAGTCAGATGTGACTTTGTTGCCATCTCCCTCTCATCCATCCCTGAACTAACCAGGTTCTGGGTTTGCAATAGGACTGGTGGATAAGGGAGTACAACAGGGCAGGCAGTCAAATGGAGATAACAACTAACTCCTAAGAGGCCCTTTCAAATATGTCTTTATTTAGATGACAAACTCAGAAATAAAGTGCCTAACCATATGTTTCTCCGTCAGTTGTGGCTCAGAAGAGGACAGCCCAAATCCTTCTGGATCTCTGGTTTCTTCTTTCCTCAAGGATTTCTAACAGGTACTGGAGCTTTCCCAAGGAAAATCTCACAGAAAAAGATTTTCATTTTGTTTTGTTTTATACACCGGGTTTCTAGGAGCTGGGGAAATGCATGTCTGCTAATGGCCTGAAAATGGAGCTTCCTTGATTATTCATGGGGGTTTGAGGATGGTRGAAACACCAGATATTAACTAGTAACCTAATTCCTGCCCCCTCAGATTACCTAAGAGTGGGCACTCCTGAATCCATGAACAGACTGTGTGTGATTCAGTTCTCCATTTGACCCACACTCAAGGGCATCAACTGCTTTCTACTTGTTCAGGCCCCAGCTCTGAGCAGTCTCCTTTGCTCTAAAAATGCTCTTGATGGGGGCGGGAGTAATAGCTCAGCGGTACAGTGCTTGCCTCGCACATGTGAGGCACTGGGTTCTATCCTCGGCACCACATAAAAATAAATAAAATAAATAAAGGTATTGTGTCCATATTTAAAAAAAAAATTTTTTTTTAAATGCTCTTGATGTTCCTCCATTGTCCTTTGGGGAATATGGCTAGAGAGCTCCAAAGAGGATGGGATTTGGAGCAACTTGATTCTAATTAGCCCAGCCCTTAACTTATCTCATTCTTAATCCCTAATAAACAATCCATATAAAACAAGCTGGGTAAAATTCTAAAGTTAAGGGTATTTAAGGAGGTCAAAGACCTCCACAATGAAAACTACAGAACATTGAAAAATGAAATTGAAGAAGACACAGGAAGATGGAAAGACCTTCATTGTTCATGGATAGGGAGAATTAATATTGTTAAAATGGCCATGTTTACCAAAAGCAATTTACAGATTCAGTGCAATCCCTATCAAAATACCCATGATATCATTAATAGAACTATTAAAAAACAGTCCTAAAATTCATTTGGAAGAATAAAAGACCCAGAATAGCCAAAGAAGTTCTAAGAAAAAAAAAAGCAAGGTTGGAAGCATCACAATACCTGACTTAAATTACACTACAGACCTATAGTAACAAAACCTGAATGGTACTGACATAAAAACAGACACATAGCAATGGTACAGAGCAGAAGACACAGAGACAAACCTACACATCTACAGTCATCTGATCCTTGACAAAGGTGCCAAAAACATATATTGGAGAAAAGACAGATTTTTAATCAACAGTACTGGGAAAACTGGTTATCCATCTGTAGAAGAATGAAACTAGACACTTATCTCTCATCCTGAACAAAACACAATTCCAAATGTATTAAAGATCTAGGAATTATACTAGAAACTATGAAAATCCTAGAAAACATAGGATCAACACTCCAACATATAGGCACAGACAATGACTTTTCAATAGAACCCCTAAAGCTCAAGAAATAATGCCTAGAGTTGATAAATGGAATTGCATCAAGTTGAAAATCTTCTGCACAACAAAGGAAACAATTAAAAATATGAAGAGAGAACCTCCAAAATGGGAGAAAGTATTTGCTAGCTACTCTTCTGACAGAGGTTTAATATCCAGAATATATACATCTCAAAAAAACCTTAACACACACAGAAAAAAGAAAACCAAATAACCCAATTAATAAATGTGCATATGACACTTCTCAAAAGGAGAAATACAAATGACTGACAAATATATGAAAAAATGTTCCACATCATTAGCTTTAGGTAGTTGCAAATTAAAATTACACTGATTTCATCTTGTACCAGTCAGAATGGCAGTCATCAAGAATACAAACTATAGTCGGGCATGGTGTCACACACCTATAATCACAGCTGCTCTGGAGGCTGAGGCAGGAGGATTATGAGTTCAAAGCCAGCCTTTGCAACTTAGCGAGGCCCTAAGCAACTTAGAGAAACCCTGTCTCTAAATTAAATATTAAAAAGGGCTAGTGATGTTGCTCAGTGGTTAAGCGTCCCTGAGTTAAATCCCTGGTACCAAAAAAAGAAGAATGAGAGAGAGAAGGAGAAGGAGAAGACAGACAATAATAAATGCAAGAGAGGATGTAGATAAAAAAAAGAACAGTTTTACACTGTTGGTAGGATTGTAAATTAGTACAACCACTGTGGAAATCAGTATAGAGGTTCCTCAAAAGACCAGGAATGGAACCACTACATGATGCAGCTATACCACTTCTTGGTATTTATCCTAAATAATTAAAGTCATCATAGTGACATAGGCATATCCATGTTTATAGCAGCACAACTCACAATATCCAGCCTAAGGGTCCATCAACAGATGAATGGGTAAAGAAATGTGGTATATATACAATGGAGTTTTTTTTCAGCCATAAAGAAAAATGAAATTATGCCATTTGCAGAAAAATAGATGAAACTTGAGAACATTATGTTTAAAAATAAGCCAAATTCAGAAGATCAAGGGTCATATATTCTCTCTCATATGTGGAATCAGAGTGGAATAAAGAAAAGAGAGGTGAGGGGGGATCTCATGAAAATCAAAGAGAAATCAGTTTGACCGAGAAAAGGGACCAGGAAGGGAGGAGAAGAGGGAAAAGGGAAATACTGGGGAATGATATTAGCCAAATTATATTGTTATATTGTGTGCTTATACACATTTGTAACAGCAGATTCCACATTTATGTCCATCTGTAATGCACCAATAAAAATATGGAAAAAATAGAAAGTTAGGGATATTTGGCCATAAATTTTTCTCACCAGTTTGTTTCATGGCAGGGCCATTCATTTCAGAGTTGGTCTTCTTTCCTTTCTTCCCAACCATGGCCAGGACTTGTACATCTTTTGGATTCTTACCACCCAGCATGACCCCAGTTCATGGATGAACTAATTTCTAGTTGAGTATTAATAATTGCTTTTTCGGGCTGGGGATGTGGCTCAAGCGGTAGCGCGCTCGCCTGGCATGCGTGCGGCCCGGGTTCGATCCTCAGCACCACATACAAACAAAGATGTTGTGTCCGCCAATCTACTATAGAAAGAACTAAAAAATAAATATTAAAGAAATTCTCTCTCTCTCTCTCTCTCTCTCTCTCTCTCTCTTTTAAAAAAAATTGCTTTTTCTATGGAGAGAAAGCTCTCTAATACTAGAGCAGCCTGGTTGGGGTGCAGGGGTACAGTGTATGTGGAGTAGCAGTGTTATCTGGAGGACCTAGTCTTCTGGTTTTCATATTTACAGGAACTCTTCAAAACCATGCTCGGAAATACAATTTGCCTATAGATGAGCTGAGTTTCAAGTACAATATTATTCCTTCCTACCGAGATCAGGCTGCAGTAATAGAAGCTGCCAAGACGATACAGTTTGGACACGAACTGCCCATGGACCTAGAGGTACTGTCACCTGGTCTTGGGCAAAGAAACTTCTATCTCACTGTATTTAAGAATTTAGTCAATCTCCCTTGTCCTAACCTCGTATCACCTCCCATTTTCAGGAACAGGAGGGGCAGAGTAGTAATTATATCCCCAAGACAAGCTCCCCCATTGGTAGTAAATAGATGGGAACTAGCTAATTTAGTCTTATTTAGAGTAACTTTCCTAAGCAATACTATTTTATTTCTTAGATATATACATAGTGATTTTTTTCTATCTTGCAGAGATAATATAGCAAAACAATTAAAAACAAGAATTTCACAATCAAACAAACCTGAGTTTGAATTCTGATGCTGCCCACCACCAGCTGTGTGTGCTGTAGCCATTGCTAACATGTCTGCACTTCAGCATCCTCATCTGTAAAATAGGGCCAATGACACCAACTCAGAGTTGAATTCAGTATAAATGAAATGGCAAATGTAATGTGGCCATATAGAACTCCAATAATAAATTACTAGTATTATAAACTAAATTTGTCTACATCATCTACTCAGTTGCCTCCTAGCAGAATTTTTATGATAATGTTATACATTCTCTAGATATAGCCACATTAGCTAACCAACAGGAATGTGTTATGGAAGCAGTTTACTCTAGTGCAGTAATTCTCAGTGTGCAGTCCCCAGACAAGGAGCAACATCATCACCAAGGAACTTGCTAGAAATGTAAATTCCCAGGCCCCACCCAGACCTATTGAATCAGGTTCTCCATGCTGAAACCCAGAAGTCTATACTTTAATAAACCCCATAGGTAATTCTTAGCCCACTAAAGTTTTAGAACAACTGCTCCAAAATATGAGTAATTCTCAATCTTGGCTGCAGTTAGAATCACCAAGTGAGCTACTTAAACATCCCAGATCCCACTCTAGGATGCAGGCTCTGATTGCATCAGAATCTCTGGAGTAGTTCCAGGCATTGTTTTTGTTTTGTTTTAAAATATTCTATTTTAACTGCCACTGTTGATCTGAACTGCCTGACTTATATATGCAGAGACATTGATGGGGGAAGGGAACCTCTGCCTCTAAGCATCTCTCCATCCAACATGCTTTATAAATATTATTTTTTATATGTGCCATGAGATCAAAGACCTGCTCCTGATTGCTTTTGTCAAGAAAGTATTCTCTAACCAATCAGAATAGTTGGGGTGAGTGACTTATGAAAATTTCCTTAAAATATCATGGTCGTTATTAGTAGAAATTGCTCCCAGGTAATTGAATCAGTATTCACCCAACTTAGATCTAATTGATCTACTCCTTTTTCTGATTAACAAATCATAAAAAGACAGCCATATTCATGGCTTATTCTATGAAATACTCTAAGATGAATACCTCTTAGTTGCCTGTATCTTAAAATAACAATAAAAAGGCATACATGCTTAAAGAAATTTGTTTTAGGATCAAAATGATTTTCAAAGTTAGGAGAAAATTTGGAGGTACACTCCTCATTATTTTGAAAGCTTTCTTGGCCAGAATGGTGTCCCAGGCCCATATCAGGAATAATTGAGGTGGCAGCAGAGCAAAACATCTACATAGAAGCCCTAACCAAAGCATTCCAGGATGGTGTCCCTGCTTGTGCCTGGCACACACTTTCTGCCACAGAGGCAGCCTAACAGACAGAGTTTACAGTGACAACCAGGATCTCTTACACTCCACCCCACCCATGCTGTGCACTGAACCATGACAATGCCTTAGAATCTCTGAGATCTCTGGGGATCTCAGATTGTCTAGCTGGCCTGTCTTTTGATCCACCCAGAAAATGTCTGAAAAAGAAGCCAGGGTGTGTGTTTTAAATAAAGACAGCTTTATTTCTGTTACAATCAGGCAGGAACACTGGCAGCCAATTTGCCACCTTTATGCCACTTAGGAAAATGCTCTCCCTCTGTGTGGATGTCCAGATTGCTCCTATACATGGTTTGGTAAGGAGGTGGCAAGATGACTTTTAGACAAACCTATATATACATAGCACCTAAGAAAACAAGAGGCCCACCCCACACTGCTGCACCCAAGAAACAGAAGGACACCAAACAGCAAAGACCAGTCAAAAAAATTCGTTTATTATAACCTGTACTACATATTGCTAGTGATGTTTAATCCTCTGTCCACAGGCATGATTCTCCTTTTATTCAAAGGCTCAGGGCCAGGCCCAGATTTGGAAAGATGGCACAGGTGTACCCATGGAGACATCTAATCCCAGGACACTAAAGGATACGGTCTCTCTTCTCTCTCTCTTCCTTTCACTAGTAATATTATAAAGTAATCATATTTCTAGGTCAGGCATGGAGGCGCATGCCTGTAATTCCAACAGCTCAGGAGGCTGAGCAGGAGGATCACAAGTTCAAAGCCAGTCTCAACAAAAGTGAGGCCCTAAACAACTCATTGAGACCCTGTCACTAAATAAAATACAAAATAGGGCTGAGGATGTGGCTCAGTGGTCAAATACCCCTAAGTTTAATCCCTGGTACCAAATAATAATAGTAATAATAATCGTATTTCTTTAAGCAGAAAGAAAGAAAAAAAGGAGTTTTCCTTAGACACTCTGTAAATATTATTGCCAATATACAATATATAATCTGTCTTCAAAGAGGGCATCCAAATTCATGAAAGACCTTGCTAAAAGATGATAATCCCATTCCTCTTATCCTACTCGATTCTCAAGAGAAAGGGAAAGCTATTTTATCATGATATCAGATAGTCTGTAAGCCCATAAATGGACTTCCCAGGGGCATCCCTATTGACATCCTGGTGGAGTATGGAAAGTACGAGATACAGTATCAAACTAAGAAGCAAATTATTTTATTTCCCAGATTCTTGGGATGCCCCTCTTTAAAATATAGCAACAATAATTTTAGGGTGTTTTTAGAATTACTTTTTAAGGATATGAATGACCCTAAATGTTGATCATCTACTCCTCCTGTCACCTCTAATCCTGTGAGTATCTTTCAGTTGCCTTCTCCTGAGGATGGTGTTCTTGTTCATGGGATGTTCATGGATGCTTCTCGATGGGATGATGAGGTGATGATTATAGAAGACGCCTTGCCTGGACAGATGAATCCAATGCTGCCTGTTGTGCATTTTGAACCACAACAAAACTATGAGCCAGACCCAACACTTTACCACTCCCCACTCTATAAAACAGGGGCCCGGGCAGGAACACTTTCGACTACAGGTAAGGATGTTCTTAAGATTAGTACAGATAATGACTAAATAAAAACTTCAATAGAAGCCCAAACACTAGCTGAAATGCACAAGGAAGTTCTTGGGCCAATTAACTAGACTTATAATAAGGCCACCTGTAACTTATGAATTTATAAATGTTGTAAATTGTATTTGTTCTAATATTGAGTGTAGATTGACATTACAACACTAATGCTTGTTTCTGTTAGAATCTAATCAGAGTTTAATGAGCAGAGACTTCCATTTTCAAAATGATGGACTGAATAGACACTAAAATCTCTCACCAAATCCATTTTGACAAATCTAAGAAAAGATATTTTTTAAAATAAACACATAGATGGAAATCTGTGTTACAAAGCTCTGGACCTGAAACTCAGATACAGCCCTGAAAAAGGGAAGCAGATAGAAAGGAAACCATCTCAAAGCTGAGAGACAGCTAAAGAATGAACAGAAAAAAAGTCCCTCAAAATATAGCACCATGGGGCTGGAGATGTGGCTCAAGTGGTAGCGCACTTGCCTGGCATGCATGTGGCCCGGGGTTCAATCCTCAGCACCACATACAAACAAAGATGTTGTGTCCGCCGAATACTAAAAAATAAATTTAAAAAAAAAAATATATATATATATAGCACCATATAACAGGAAAAACTGAGATTGTGTGAAGAGCCAGAATCTCCAATATTTCTCTAGTAGGCAACCTAGAAGAAGTGAGGAGAATGGAGAAGAGGGAATAGTTGAAAAAATAATGGTTGATAATTTCCCAAAACTAATGAAGCACTTGTATCCTTAGATTAAGAGATCTCACACAGTTGAGGGGTGATTTTTAAAATAGTGAAGGAATGTGTTGATATATTTAAAGGGTGGTGTCCAGTACACTACATAGTAAATACCACCTAAGTAAACTGCAGGCAGAACAAGCAGTCGTGATGAAAATTTTGTCTGAACAGTGATTCAGCTTTTTGCCTGGATTTGGATGTGAACTTATGGGTAACAAAATTAGATTTAAGAACTATGAAATATTTCACTTTAAGAAAGGAAACTGCCTATTTAAATTTTTTTAAATGGTAATATAAACTTTAGTCATGATCCAAGAGTTCTGGCACAGAACAATATTAATCTTCTCACATATGAAAAGGGAAAACCTCGAGTAGTCAGCATCTCTGGTATCTGAGCCCTGCAGCTAGGAACTCTGGGAGGATATAAGAAGCTTCTCTGTGAGGAAAGGTAATCTCATCTCACAGAAAAGGATGAGGTAGTCTTCACCCACTAATCAACATCCAACTTGAGACAATGATGATATCAATTCAATAGTTTTCAAATTCAATGAATAGAATACTTACTGGTTAAATATTAGAGGCTCTGATTAAGGTAAAAATCCATACCAGGGTACTTACTCAAACTCCTGCATTATTCAGGAAGTCCTAACCAAATCAATAAGAAAATGAAAAAAAAAAGAGAATTATTTGCCAATTTAATTGATTAAATGGAAAACCCAAAATAATCTACAGAAAATCTGCTAGAAATAGAAGTCCAGCAGAATTGACAAATATTTTTAAATATTTGTAAATTTTAAAATCAATAGAATTCCTGTGTTCCATCAAAAACAAATAGAAATGAAAGTGAAATAAAATATTTCATTCCAATAAAAAATACAATTGATTAGAAGACTAGGACCAGACCAGACATAAAGGGGCAAAATCCTTTTTGAGAACTTCATAAAATGCTATTGAGGGCCATAAAACAAGACTTTATAGAGGAACTATATCATATTTAGTGGTAAGATTCCATATTGTAAATATTCCAATTACATCCCAAATTAATCTCTAAATTTATATTTATTTTATTCTCAATAAAATAAATATAATTGTTGAAAGAACTTATTAGTCTGGTACTTATATAAAAATCAAACAAACTAATAAAACAAAGAATAACAAAAACAGTTTTAAAGATAATAAGACAAGAGAGTCTAATTTTAACAAATATTAAAATGTAGTCATTAAAGTGGTATTACAGTGGCACAAGATTCAACAAATAGATCACATGTACCCTGGAGAGCCTCAGAAACAAGGTGTGTATGTGGGAACTTGACATAAAAACAGCATCATTTAAAATTGGTCAGGAATGTAGAAATTATTCCACAAATGGTGCTGGAACAATTGGTTGTACTAAATTTAGATCTTATACCACACACATAAAAAATTAAACCACATATGGATTATTGAGACTTAATTGTCACTAAATTATAGAATAATTATCCCCTAATGAAATAATGGTAATAATGTTCAATGGTTGCTAATATCCCAAAAAAAGAAAATCAAGAATAAATGTGCTTCCTGATAGAAGTTCACACCACTTATGAAGTGTTTGTGCCAAAAACTGAAACCTATATATGATTAAACCTCTAGATCTCTAATACTCTTTTACAAGAATAAAAGAACATGTTTAAAATCACCACCAGGATGTCATTGGAAAAATCCAAACTCTGGGAAACTTAACAGGTCCAAAAACCCTGGTTGCTTCAATAAATACATGGCTAGGGGTGGCAAAGAAGCAGAGGGGGAACCTACCAATTAAGAGATTTAAGAGACACATCACTATTATAAGGTATGGAACTTATTTGAAACCTGAATCAAACTAGCCATTAAACACAGATATAATTTATATTTACTATAAAAACATATATGTATATACTCACATACATATACACTAATTGGAGAAATTCAAATAATAACTATATATTTGTTATTGGGAATGACTAATGTTTTGCTATAATAGTGCTTATGCTTTTGTTCTTGCTATAATAGTGCTTATTATAATAGTGCTTATAATAGTTCTTATGTTACTGTAACAATGCTTATGCTTTTAGGAGTTACAAACTGAAATATTTGAAAAACATGTATATGTTATCTAGTATTTGCTTCAAAATAATCTGAAGAACATAAGGAATGTGTGGGGAAAGGATGGGGACAAAAGGAACTTCAACTTTATCTATGTTTCGATTTTTCCATTAAAAGAAAAAAAAAACAGGGCTGGACCTGTGGCTCAGTGGTAGCTCACTTGTCTAGTGTATGTGAGGCACTAGGTTCAATCCTTAGCACTACATATAAATAATGAATAAAATACATGTCCATAAACATCTAAAAAAATATTTAAAGGAAAAAAACATGATAAAACATTAATAGTAAGTCTGGATTTTGGTCAGTGCATTCTTAAAATTTATCACTACATTGTTCAAGTTAAAAGTTACTTTATTTGAACTAAGGCATGTCCAGGTCTTCAGAGTAAGGAGTGATGGAAACAGGCAGTTCATATCTTTTTTAAAAATATATATTTATTCTTTTTAGTTGTAGTTGGACATAATACCTTTATTTATTTATTATTATGTGGTGCTGAGGATCGAACCCAGGGCCTCACATATGCTAGGCGAGTGCTCTACCGCTGAGTTACAACCCCAGTCCCAGTTCATATCTTAATACAAGTCAGTGGAGGCCTGAGTTAATCTTGGGTGCAAAAGATGTTCATTCACCCAGGTACAGCCCTCACCCCACTAAAAGCTAGTCCAGCTAAGACCACTGACAGCATCTGATCCTGTATGGAGGCAGCAAGCTTTCCTTTAACCTGGCTTCATAGTTCTAAAACCCATTTAACCCTTCCTGCCAGGTTCTCAAATATTGCATACAAAGTACCAATGACCCCTGAGAAAAGACAATCTTTATTTTTACAACTGTTCCATACACACCCAGCTACTCATAAGCTCCTTCTAGTCATCCTATTTCTTTCCTAGCTCCTATAAGAAAACTGTGGCAAATTCCTTTTAACCATGATCCACTGGTGGAATAGCAGTATAGTTGCTTTAACGACCCTTGTTTTGCAGTCCCTAGCACAGAACCTGATATCCACTTTCTAGGACATATGACATGTGGTCAACATACCAATCCCAATCACCACTGTTGGAGACAGTTGTATATAACTACTAAATCATTTCTGTATTGTACAATGAACCCCTTAGAAAGCAATGGTGAGATGTGGAGATTAAGAATTATTGTAAGTCAGCTAAATTCATTTCTGGACAAGAGCAAACTGATTCAACTTAAATCAGATTCAATGGCTGTAGGAATTTGGTTATGTCCCCAAGTACTTCCTCATACCTAGAGGAGGCCTCATACAGTAGAGGCACTGATTATCTGAGGGGGATGTGTGCATGGAAGTGTGGAAAAGGGAAGGGGAGGTTGTAAGGGGATGCTTAGGACCTTGGACTAAATTTCTGTGTCCCATGAAATCAGTAAGTATATATTAAGACTATCTAGGCTTGCTTTCCCTCAAACTGGGGCTTGTGGCATGGGAGGTCTATCACAGACACCTCAAGGCCACCATGAAGGAGATGGCACACAAAAGTAAGGAGAGGGAGATATAGGCATTATCTACTGGGGGCATCAGGGCTTTCCCCAAAGTTCACACAAATGGGGGCTGCTATGAAAGCAGTGTTATAAGTAGCAATCCCATTCCAAGGGAGAGACCCTATTCTCAACCTTATCCTGGTCCCCTCACAGAGACCTACAATGGAAAAGTTGCAGAAGTGCTCTTTTATATTATATGTGTAAGAGCTGAAAATAGAAAATACCTGTAACTATGCTTATTCATCTCAGGAGCCCAACTGCCTACCACTACAGAATAGAACAAAGAATGCGTGGATGGATGGATGGACAGGCAGATGGGATGGATGCCCAACCCACAACTACATCCTCCTTTGTGCCACTGAAAACTCAGTCTTGAATCCTAGTCCACTGCCCTAGGTTAAGACTGCAGAAAACTTAAAACATAGCTCATAAAGTTATAAAGTCTAAGCTATAGAGGTCATAAAGGACCATTATTCTAAACTCTTTTCATGTGTGTGCATGTGTGTAACTAGGCCTTGAATTCAGGACCTAGAGCATGCTCTATAAGCATTCTACTACTGAGCTATACTCCCAACCCACCTCACCACTTTTTCATTTTTGGAGATAGGGTTTGGCTAAGTTGCCCAGACTGACCTCAAATTTGTAATCCTCTTGCCTCAACCTCGTGAATAGCTGGTATTATAGGTGTGTGCTACTATAGTTGGCTTCAAATCTTCATTTTATGGCACATAAACCTGAAGCTCACAGAGGACTATTTGCCTACAGGCTAGAGGCAGTCTGGAACCCAGCTGTTTCAACTTTCATTATCTTGTCTCTTTATATCTGGAAGTTATTCTTTAACTTTAACAATTCTTCCTCCCATCCCATCCCCTATATCTTTAATTAGGCCATTCAACCAACTTTGTGGTGACTATCCTTTTACCCTCCAATCGGTCCAAAGACTACTGGATTGCTAAGGGATCAGCTTTGCTCTGCCAACTGAATGAGTGAACAAATAACACATTAGTCCAGAGGTCTTCCCTGATGGAGGGGAAAGTTTGACCAATTTACATTGGAGCAAAATGATGTTACTTCTGATTTGACTTAAGGTAGTAAGTAAGTATGGCTGTTTCTCTTATGACTTAAAATAAAGTGTTCTGAGTTCTTTCTGTTAGTAATCCCGGCTTTGATGTGAAGACGGTGGGTTCTGCACCCACTTATTAAACCTGTTCCTTCATCCATGTGAGAGTCAGGCCTCTTCCCATCAGTAACCTGAGGGACCCACTGGAAGAGTCAGGACTTATCCCCTCACCTACACTGGCTCCCTTCCTCATCCCACTCATATGAAAGGTCAATGTATACTTTAGTCACATAGCCCTGGGTGCTTCTATTTCTAGACTAATTAAGGCTCTCAGAACCCAGCACCTGGGGAGTGAATACAGTGGTTGCAACAACTGGTAAAGCCAATGAGCAGGAAGATAAGATCTTGGCTATGGTGCCAGTTACCCCATTCTATGAGGTTATATTACAAACCTTGGTAGGGCCTTCATTTTCATAAAAGTGCAGGTTGCTCCTGCCCAAGTACAGAGGAATTTTCCTCCTTTATTTTAATATAAACCTGGGTGAAAACTAACCAAGTCCCCACCAGGTATGTTTGAGCCCATCACCTTAAAAGCAGAGGCTCAGTGAATAAGTGGAGCAGCCCATTTTGAGAAACATTTTATGCCATCCCTTCCAACAAGGACTATTGCTTCCTTGGCCATAACATAACCCAAGAAATTGGGGAAACCACATATATGAGCCTCTGGAAAAAGCCACACCACCCCCTTACAAAATGTGGGAGGAACAGGATCAACCACAGTGATCCTACTATCCCATTTTATCTCTGCCCCCTACCTTTATCTCCACTTCTGACAAAAGAAACTCAAGGACTTGAGTGGGACCAATAAGAAGTAGTTGTGTTTGCTCCAAATCTGGTTTAGGGTAAGTTTGATTGTCTGGGCTTGTAGCTTTGACTTCCCTTTCTTTCCTGAGGTTTTCTTGTGAGCTCATTCTCAATCAACTTGACTCAAGTTGCAAAAAAGCAATGGAATACCATTTCTATCAGAGTTCAATGCACTACTCAATGCAAAGACTACTCTTGCATATTTCAAGCAGAAATAGGAGCCAACAAAGGCACTTCTACAGCTACAGAAGTCAGAGGGTCAATATCAGGCACCATGGAAGCTATAATCCAAAGTCAGAAAGTACAGGAAAGTGTCAACCTCATAGGTGCTCCACACCCATGAAGGGGACCAGAGTATGAAGCAGAGCCTGGCCACTGCACAAACTTATGTCTGCTGGAGACTGCATGACTGCAGCCACCAATGAAGAAAAAGACACTCTGCCCACTCCTGCCTTCCAAACCTTACTCCTTGAGTCTCATTAGGCGAATCTAAATCTAGCAGCAAGGAAATCTGGAAGTTTTTAGCCCTCCTACCTCCTATAGTACATGGGACACAAAATGAAACAAAGGATCCTAAGTGCCATTGCACTACTTTTGTTAAGGCCACAAAAATGATTGAGAATGAGCTCACAAGAAAGCCTCAGGAAAGGAAAGGAAGGCAAAGCTACAAGCCCAGGCAATCAAGCTTACTCTAAACCAGATTTGGAGCAAACACAACTACTTCTTATTGGTCCCACTCAAGTCTCAAGCAGACCTACTTGGAGTTTTGTGAGCTACTCAGAGGCCTAGGAGGACCAGAAGGGAACCTTGCCACAGGGAGGAGATCCTGGTCTGAAATTTGGGGATTAGAAGAAGACAGTTCCCATTTCAGACACAATTAGGGCAGTTCTGCAATTACTTCTAGAGCTCCCCCATAAGATTTTATTTGTAAAGGGCATTGTCAGTAAACATGTAAATAATAAATAATAAGACAGGAGAGGGTAGTTTAAAAACCACTTCTTTCACAACACCCCTGAAAAGCCTGCCCATCCCCCCAGTCTCCAGCATGTCAGAAAGTCACACTAATATATGTAAAGAAGTACCTATAAGAGCACAAGGAGTACCCTACTCACCAGACCTTGAACAGAGACATACATGGCCTACTGACTGCCCTGCATCCAAAATCTGGGGCAAATTGGAAGGACAGCAGAAGGAGGGAGAGACAGGTCAAGATCTGCAGCTGAATAGTGCAAAGCCCAGGAAGAAAGCTATGATAGTTTTCAGAGGGTGTGAACGAAAGTTATTTGCCTCTTAGATTCACATCATAAAAAAGTCTACACAAAAACAGTATTTAGTTATTTCATACCATTCATTTACAATTTATTTTCATACAATTCATTATGTTACAAAACTGTACATCTCCTCCCAACACTGTTGGATAACCCAGGTCATTTGTTAGGAGGAGAAGAATCACCACTGGGCTTCTTCTTCAGATGTCTTCTCTCCTGGGTTGGGCTTATCAAGACCAGACCAAAGTGTGGAGTGCGGGAATGGCAATCCTTCAAGTAAGGTCTTGGCCTGGCTCCTCCAGTTGCTACAAGAGGGCTGTCTCTGTTGGGAAAGCAACCACCAGTCCCAAGAACACAGAAGTCCAGAGAGACAGGTGGTACTGGCCACCATCTGGCTGTGGTGGGAATGTCTGTGGTGAGGGAACCACAATTCAGCAGAGATATGCCTGTCCAGGACAGGGACCTGGAGTTGTGGGGCCATAGCACTAGGAATTCAAGAGCGGGGCACAGCAAAAGCCTACTATATACTCCAATTCCTCCAAACATCCCCTGGGTTTTTCAATTCCCCCCTTTAAAGGCAGGAATAGATATTAATATGTGGATAGGCTGCCTATATCTTTGGCCCTATTTTGTGACTTTGGCCACTACTCCCAGAAAACCAAATGACAGAGGACTTTAGCAGTCTTGCCAATTACCCCCACACTACATACACACCATTTGATTCTTGATTCAAGGATTATTTTAGGCAGGCTCCTCCTGGTCACGCTCCCCACTCATACACACAGTACACACACACCCACAGCACCTACACTTTCTTTGCAGATCATTTACTCAAAATCTAGCTTCATGTGCATACTGTGAGCTCCTTGAAGGCAGAGATCAATGTCTATATGGTTCACCCCACAGACATAGCACCACTACAACAGCAGACTTAGGAGGAACTCAATGAGCTTGGGTTTATTTTAACTGGATTGTGGATCCCAGCCTTTCTATCAGCTTTATGCCCTGCAGAACCACACTTTTCTATCCAACTCTGATCTACCCATTAGCCCTCAGAGGGCACCTTGTTTAACCACTCTCAGAAAACAAGCCCATTCCTACAGAGTCGATTCTAGCTCTGCAAAACTACAAAATTCTCCCAGATCTGCTGGGAGAAAGGGCTGGAAAAATAAATTCTTCACAATCTTCATTCTACTTTAAAAAAGACCTACCTTTACCCTCACATTTGTTGTTGTTCTTTTTTTTAAGATGTTGATGGATCTTTATTTTATTTATTTATGTATATGTGCTGCTAAAAATTGAACCCAGTGCCTTACACATACTAGGCAAGCACTCTACCACTGAGCCACAACCCCAGCCCCCACATTTGTTCTCTCACAAGCATAAACATGTGGCCCTTGCCCTGGCTTGAAGCAGCAACCTTAGATCTGGATTCACATCACAGCACAGGACAGAAGAGAAATGACTGGGAAAGGCTGCTCCCTGATTGGGCAATTCCCAGCCCTCCCAGTTTAAGAGTAACCTAGGTCTGCTCACCACCCATATGTCAGGGGAAGGAGAGATGCCAGCATGGCTCTGCCCATCTGTCTCACCTCTCTTCCAGGAAGACCCACAGGTTGTTGAACCACTGCTTCAGCACCAGGCACCTCCACTTCTTCCTGAACTTTTGTCCCGACTAGCCAAGTTGGTTGGCACTCCCAGGCAAGGGCTCATGGGGCAGTGCGTCGCAGACAGGGCTTCCAGTGCCAGTGCTGTCAAGACTGGCACTTCCGAGACAAAGATGTCCAATGGAGCCAGTGTGAGATGGGCTCTTACTCCTCTCTGTAAACTAGGGTGGAAGGGGAGGGCTGCATAGCATGGTCCTTCCTGCTCCTGTGGCTCAGGACCTCATGATCCTGCCAAGAACACCTGGTTCACAAAGCCACCTGGAAAATTGGTCATTTTGACACCTTTTTTTTTTTTCCCGCCACATATCCTCACCCTGTTCTCTTAAAATCTCCTGTCCTTTGGGAGAAAACCCAAAGATTTTTTTAACTGTATATAATTACTGCACTTTCCCAACCATGAATATGTGAGTACTGTCTAGAAAGTCAATGAAGATTATAGCATTTAAAGATAAACTGTTTAAGTGCCATTTGCTCTAAAAAAAAAAAAAAGTGACCCTTAACCCTCTTGTATTCTTTTGAGAGGTTATATTGGAATAGAAATAGGTTCTCTGTCCCTTGGTGGCCACCCAATCCCCATGTGAAGTGCTGGCTCATAGGGCTGGCCTCTAACACTTTTTACCAGGTCTGCCTTTAAACCATCTCTCCCAAAGGTAACATATATTTTTACAACTTATGGGAAACTCAGACTTGCTTCTAGTTTTCCCCTAAAGGTAATTATAGTCCCCAAACACCACTTTCAGTGAAAAAAATTAAGCCATCAGAAGGGCCAAGTTTCTTCCTACAGTAGGACTTTTATCAAGGATTTAGTTGGGGGATAGAAGAAGAGTGCCATAAGAGAAGAATTCTACTCATTATCTCCTGATGTAGGCCATGAGGGATTTTATGCTCCCATCTATCTGCCTAAGAAGGGGAGCAGGGGGACTTTCCTTCCCCAGTGATGTGGGTGCAGACAACCAGCATATAAGAAATCATTTACTCTGCTCTTGATTCAACCTTGATGAAATGTCTACCTGCCAGAAGCTGGCCTCAACTCTGACTAACAACCTGGCAGAACCTCACARATCAGTTACTATTAACCACCATGTGTGAAAAAGGGAAGAGGTATAAGAGAAGTAAGCAAGGGAAAGACCTATACAAGGTTAAAAAAAAAAGTAATTCCTCAAGTGGAAGAGAAAGAAAACAAAAGGCCACTACTCTTACTCTGATTCTGAGGACCCCATAAACATAAAGTCACAGCTAGAAGGTTTCTAGAGGACAAGAACTATTATAGTCATTATTCTCCTTAGCACAATACCTGGCACACACTGCGACACCATTTAGATGAATCCTTCATTGCAGCAACAAAGAAACTGGGCCTGCAGAAGGAGGGTGCCCTACTCAAGGCTCTCCAAGATTTGGAGAATTTAAAGAATGTGGTATCTAGAAAAAAGCCCAGGCTTGGAGCTTTGGATGAGATTATTAACCTTTCTGAGTTTCTGACACTTGGGTAAAGTTAACATCTCACCTGTGAGGATCAGACAACCTATGCAGTATGTTTCAATCGGTGCTAAGCACACAGTTTTTCTACTCTGGCCCTTAACCCTTCCCCATTGGCCCCTTCTCTCTGATGCTCCTTTGGAGATCTTATCCTCCACCTTTGCCTCAAAGAACCACAATTAGCAAGTTGATCACTAGATCTCTCATATACCGCCACTGGCTAAATGAGTGCCCATGGGTTATCACAACAATAATAATATTTACAAATCAACCAACTCTAGTTGAGACCTACTTTATGCCAAGTGCCAGGATAGAGACTTTTGGGAACTTACTTTTGAGAAAAAATAGATACTTATCCTGAAGGCTCTAGAAGAAAAAAAGAGCTCTTACTCAAAGCCATACAGAAGAACAAACCAAATAACTTAGGATCATGAAGATGGTGACCCCAGGCTGTAGGAGTAGAGGATGTGGTGTATGCACTGAAGTCACAGATTCCAATAGCAAGAACTGGGATTGAGGATAGTGAATGAATCCCTAGCAGAGGAAAATACATGAACAATGGTGAAAAGGCTGGAAACTAAAAGATGGGAGAAAGGGCAAAAAGAGAGGGTTTTAGAGGTGAAGGGGTCTGACTTCTATCCTGGCTCTGTCTAGCTGGGTGACCTTTCACAGTGTTTTCATCATTAAATAGAAATTTCCACCTAGCTGCTGGTTTTGAGAAGAGTCTACAAGAACCTGACTACCACCTGATAATCCATAAATAAATCCTTCTTTTTCTCTACTGAAAAATGTGAGCATCTCAGCTTGATGAGAGAACAGATTCCCAGCCCTCTCTGTGCATCACTATCTCCTGGAGAGCTCTTTAAAATAGTTTCCTTCTGTGAAGTGTCTGTTCAGTTCCTTTGCCCATTTATTGGTTGGGTTATTTGTGGGGTTGTTTGTTTATTTTGGTGTTAAGTTTTTTAGTTCTTTATCCCTGAAACTAATGCTCTCTGTGAGGAGGAGGTGGCAAAGATTTTCTCCTATTGTGTAGGCTCTTCACACTTTTGTTTGTTCCTCTGCTGTGAAGCAGCTTTTAGTTTGATGCCATCCCATTTATTGCCCATTTATTGATTCTTGATTTTACTTCTTGCACTTTAGGAGTCTTATTAAGGAAATCAGTTCCTGAGATGATATGTTAGAGTGTTGGGCCTACATTTTCTTCTTGTATGTACAGGGTTTCTGGTCTAATACCTAGGTCCTTGATCCACTTTGAGCAGAGTTTTGTGCAGGGTGAAAACAGGAGCTAAATTTCATTCTACTGCAACAGACACTTCACAGAAGAAGAAATATAATTAGTCAACAAGTATATGAAAACTACATTGAGATTCTTTCTTGCTTCAGTCAGAATGGCAATCATCAAGAATACAAGTAACAATAAATGTTGGTGAGATGTGCGGAAAAAGGTATATCATACATTGTTGGTGGGACTGCAAATTGGTGAAGTCACTCTGGAAAGCAGTATGTAGATTCCTCAGAAAACTTGGAATGAAACCACCATTTGACCCAGCTATCCCACTCCTTGGGAGTATATCCAAAACATTTAAAAATCAGCATTCTACAGTGACAGGACCATATCAATGTTTATAGAAGCTCAATTCATAATAGCTAAACTATGAAACCAATAAGTTCCCTTCAATAAGTGATTGGATAAAGAAAATGTGATTCACATACACAAACACACACACACACACACACACACACAGGAGTATTACTTAGCCATAAAGAATACTGACCTTATTATATTTGTCAGCAAATAGATGGATCTAGAGACTATCATGCTAACTGAAATAAGCCAATCCCCAAAAAACCAAAGGTTGAATGCTTTCTTTGATATGTGGAAGATAACACAAAATATGGGTGGGTGAGGGGAAGAATAGAAGTGCAGTAGATTAGACAATGGGGAATTGAAAGAAGGAAGGGGGGATAGGAAAAGGAAAGACAGTGGAATGGATCTTACATAATTTTCCCACGTACATATATGAAAACAACACAGTGAATCCCACCATCACACCATCATGTACATCCATAACGATGGAATCCTAACTTGAATAAAATACATTCCATGATTATATAATTATATAAAAATATATTCTGCTGTCAAATATAACTAAAATAGCTGGGTCAAATGGTAGTTCCATTCCAAGTTTTCTGAGGAATCTACATACTGCTTTCCAGAGTGACTGCACCAAAACAGAATCAATAAATAAATACTGTTTCCTCACCTTCCTTTCACCAGGGGCTGATATCAGGATTAGAGGCAGAATTAGACAACTAACAAGACACAGAACAAACACACACACACACACACACACACACACACACACACACCATGTACACCACATATGTGCACTCCACACATACTATCCATGACACAACAGACCACACATGCACACCACACACACACTCGCCGAGCAAGTCCTCTCTAGTACCCCGAAGGGATAGCTGTCAAGCCCCAGCTCAGTCAACACCCCAGCCTTCCTGGAAGACAATCCAATAGATGGAGACCCACAGTCTCCCTGCCTCAAGCAGAGAACCACTCAGGGAAGGGCTTTCCCTCCAGATCTGAGAAAAGAACAGGCAGGAGAGTGGCTGGGCAGGCAGTAGAGCTGACTCAGGGAGGGATGGCACTTTAGTCAGGGAAAGCAGCATTAGCAAAGGCAGTAACATAGCAGGAATAGAAGATTTTCTGATGCAAGTAGTAATGCTAGAAAAGAGATCTGAATGCCAAGACACTGGACTTTTTATTAAAGAGAACAAGTAATCTTGGAAGGTTCTGAGTAGAGGATACTTGAAAGATTAGTCCCACAGAATGGTAAAGAATGAATCAGAAAGAGAAACGCCTGGAATGGGCCATGGCCATTGTAAAGGAGAACAACAAATCCCAAGGAGGTTTTTCTGGAAGAAGCCAAGTGCCTTGTAGAAAATGGGAAATGGAAAGAGCATTAATCCCTGAGGCCTCCAGGACCCTGGGCAACCTTCCCTCCACATTCCCTTCCCCCTAAATGCTGCTAAGAAAGAGTTCACAGCACCCTCAGCAGTCCCAAGTACCCACCCAGTCACCCATGTCTGATACAACCCCAGCCATCTAATGTCCATCAGTGTCCATCTAATGACCATTCTCCTGGGCCCCAAGGAAACGACCATGCTGTGGTCCTCTGGAGCCTCTGAAGATAACAGCCACCCTGGCGCCCAGGCAGCCAGTCCCCTTGCTGCTGTCTACCCAGATACAACCAATTGTTGATGGGACATCTAGCCAGGGCATGTTCTCATGGCCTTTGCAATGCAACACATCCAGCACTATGTTGTTGCTCATAAAACAGTCTACAGTGAGAAAAATGAGCAGAAACACTATAGTTGTCAGGACCACCCAATATACTCCCCAGCCACACACCAAGAACAAAGAAATCATCCTGCCTATCCCTTTCCCAACTGTGCATCACAGTACAGTTTCAGAGAGATTCTAAAATTGGGCCTCATGACAGCCCTGCAAGGCAGGCAGGGCATGATAAGTGTGTTTCAGAGATGAAGACACTGGAGATCAGAGCAATGTAAGATCAGAGCTGCATAGGGGGGAAGGCAATGTGGAGGGAAGGTTGCCCCTGGTCCTAGAGGCCTCAGAAATGCTCTTTCCATTTCCCACTTTCACTGGAGATGAGGACACTGAAAATGAGAGCAACGGGAGAGTTTGCCTGGAGTTACTGAATCAGTAAGCACTCATTCAGTCCCACAGCTAAGGATAGAAAGAACCTGAACATCAAACTCCCAATGTAGTAAGACTTCCCAGAGGAGGTGACATTTGCACAGGATTCTAAAGGATGGGAGCTGGTCTGGGGAAAATGAGACAGTTTCCACCTATGGAGAAATGCAAAGGTGCTCCCTGGGGAAGCAAGCAGGCTGGTGGGATTGAATGAGTGCTTACTACCCAATCATCACTTTCCAACAAAAGCAACCTAGTCTGAGAAGTTCTCTTCTTAGATGTTTCTGCATAGGACAGGAGGCATTATAGTTTAGGAGCCACAATCAGGGATTCCAGGAGCCTACAGCACCACCACAAATAATAGCAAGATCAACCAGAAGGAACACAGAAGCCCTGGTTCCTAGTTTCACTTATGGAAATCCTCATGCAGGGAAGGGGTATCTGGCTCCATATGTGATGTTTCTTGGCAACCACTGTGTCCTAGGGTACCCCTCACTCTAGGCCTTCCTTTGAGGATTCCCACTCCAATGATCTTTTTAGTAAAACCATTAGCTCCCAACCCCCTTCTCCCTGCAGCCTAGACCAACTCTAAACAGAAACAGACCTAATAATTGGGAGTGGGGAGAAGCTATCACCACTGGCAAGGTAACCCTGGTAAACCAGGAGCCCAAAGGTTAGCATGAGCTGATTTAAGATTAACACAACATCTAAATAAGAAAAAAAAAATCTTGTCTTTAACCACTCATAGTATTATATTTATTTACTTAAGAATGAGGAAATGGGAATTGGAACAAGTGATTATTTATAGCTTCTGCTGAACACCCTTGACTTTTCCAAAGGTGAGCTCCATTTCTTATTTTCATACTTTGTCTCCAGATCCCAATGACAAAAGCTACTGTTTGATATTAAAGCTTCAGTACTTCCAGTTTTTGGTTATCCTCATTTTGCAATCAAATATTTTCTTAACCACACTGATTTTTTTTGGGGGGGGGGTATTGCTGGGGATTGAATCCAGGGCCTCATGGATTCTAGGAAAATGCTGTATCCCAAATCCAGCTTTTTAAATTTTAAAATGCTGGAGGTAAGGGTGTCAGCAACCCCACCTGAGAAGGCATAGGGAGAAAGAAGCCACAGAAAAATAATTATTCTAATAAGAACCATCCTGGGGCTGGGGATGTGGCTCAAGTGGTAGCACGCTCACCTGGCATGCGTGCGGCCTGGGTTCGATCCTCAGCACCACATACAAACAAAGATGTTGTGTCCGCCGAAAACTGAAAAATAAATATTATAAAAATTTAAAAAAAAAAAAAAAGAACCATCCTGATCCCTCCTGACACCTGGGTGCCCAGGGGCTGTGAGAGTTCCATTCAGGGATACATTAGCATCATAAATTATATCCTTAGAATCAGAGAAGCCCAGGTGTTCCAATGTCACTTCACACCATCTTCACCAGCACAAAACTTATCCAAAGGCCCACCCTCTAAACTACCCAGATCAAAATATGCTGTCTAGCCTCCCACCTGCCCAGAACACACATCTAACTTAACCCTTCATTGAGCACCCCATTAATGTATTACTAGACAAGCCCTTGGACCTGAGAAGGGTGGGGAAAGCTTTGGACACAGCTGTGCCTAAGCGCCTCTCACCCAACCAGGGAGGTAACTCAAATCAGGGGAAGCTCTTGGGAAATCAACTGAGTCTAGCAAGAGCAGAAGGTAAAAGCTCCAGTGCCCAGGCACTTTGCGTCTCTGCTACCCAGATGTGTACTTTAGTAAGACAAAGCTTATGTTCACACCAGGGAACAAGCCAGGGGAAACTGGGGCCTACACCACTGTCAGGTACCTAAAGAGTAAAACCCTGGCTAAAAGCTTTGTTTGAAAAAGTCATTTGTTGAGACAGGAAGGAGTTGGACATAGTGTAACAATCCAAATATGAAACTTAAGTCTTATAAAAGAGGGAAACCACTCACACAGATTTGAGAGGCACCATGAAAGAAACAGCAATTTATTTTGTGGCAGAATTCTTCAATCAATAAGATATAGAAGACAAACCTCTCATTTTTTATAACAGTTTTATTCAAACAATTACATAAAGTAAGATCTATTATTTTTACATGAAATTCTATTTTTTATTTTAATTTGTTATAATGACAGAATTCATTACAATTCATATTACACATATAGAGCACAATTTTAAGATCTATTCTTTTAAAGCATACAATTCAGTGATTTTTTACTCTATGTGAGAACATATAGAGTAGTTAGGCAAATTAAGATATCTATGATGTCTCTAGATGATACAATCTAATTGGTCCACCATTGTATACATAGTCTACCTGTATTAGCTTTTTTGTTGCTATGACTAAAAGACCTGACAAGAACAATTTTAGAGGAGGGAAGTTTATTTGGGGGCTCACAGTTTCAGAAGTCAGTCCACAGACAGCTGGCTCCATTCCTTGGGACTCACAGTGAAGTGGGACACCATGGCAGAAGAGTATGACAGAGGGAAGCAGCTCACATGATAATCAAGAAGCAGAGAGAGAGAGTCCACTTGCTAGATACAAAATATATACCCCAAAAGCACATCACCAAGCACCTTCTCCAGCCACACCCCATCCACCTTCAGTTACCACTCACTCAGTTAATCCCATCGGGGGACTAATTCACTGATTGGGTTAAGGCTCTCGTAGCCGGATCATTTCACCTCTGAACGTTCTCGCACTGTCTCACATGTGAGCTTTTGGAGGACAACTAATATCTAAGCCATAACATTATCACTAACAGAAACATTGTCATGCAGCACATAACAATATTTACCATAGTTCTCATTACCAGATTCATGTCCAGCTTTCAATAAAAATGTAAAATTATGCTAAAAAATGAGAAAAATAACAGTCCAAAGAAACAAAGTAAGCATCAGACTCAGACATGATAAAGATTCTTGAATGATCAGATAGGAATATGGCTGAACTGAAAAGCATTATCAATGAAATGGATCTAAAATTTATAAAATACTTCATCCAACAATGGAAGAAAACACTCTATTCTACTCATGTGGAATATTCACCAAGATAGACCACATTCTGGGTCATAAAACATGCCTCAGCAGATTTAAAAGAATAGAAATCTTACAACATAAGCTCTCAGACAATTAAATTAAACTAGAAATCGATAACACAAAGGTACCCCTCAAACCCCAAATACATAAAGACATTTTAAAAATAGAACATTGGTCAAAGAAGTTTCCTGAAACTTTAGAGAAGATTAAACTAAATGAAAGTGGAAATAAAACATTAAAATTTGCAGGAAGCAGCAAGAACAATGTTTAGAGGGAAATTCACACAATATGTATTTATTAGAAAAGAAAGATTAAAATCAATAAAACCTTTTATTTCACTTGCCCTATACTGAAGACTTTAATTCTGACATCTTTATGATGTGGATACCATGTGCCACCCCATTTTACAGTCAAGAGAACCAAGGCACTAGGACGTAGGAGGCTTGTTGGCCAAGGTTGCACAGGTATAATGGCAGAGCTGGGATTTACATCCAGGCAATCCCACTCCAAACTCCACATACTTTTTAAAAAATTTTAGTTGTAGATTTCACAATAGCTTTATTTTGTTTATTTAGTTTTTTTTAATGTGATACTGAGGATTGAACCCAGTGCCATGTCATGTGTGCTAGGCAAGACTCTACCACTGAGCCATAACCCCAGCCCCAAACTCTACATCCTTAACTCTCTGCTACAGGCCAATCTCATGAGACACCCACAACCTCTGTGACTGAACTGAACAGGTGACATGTGCTAATGCCTATACCTACTCACAAAGACAGTTTGGTGACATCTATGGAGAACAACAAGAAATTCTCCCAGCTCCTGAAAGGGCAGACAAGTCATTTCTCTATTCTTTTAAAAACAGGAAATTCTTTCATCCCTGAGATGTTTTTTCTTATCTTCATAAAGAGATTTGACAGAGAGGGAAAAATGTCTTTCTTCCTTTTTAATTCAAGGCTATCCTGGACAACCTGGCAAGACCCAGTCTCCAAATAAAAAAGAAATAAATTAAAAGATTTGAGGATGAGTCTCTGTGGTAGAGCACCACTGGTTCAACCCTTAGCACTGCAAAAAAAAAAATGAGTAATAAAAATAAAGTGATACCATCTTATAAAATGTGTTACCTTGAGGAGAGAACCCACACAGAAAAGAATTTTGAGATATAAGTTGTTATAATACCACAAATATCCTCAAGTGTGGGAGGCCATCCTTGCACGTGATTTGAGTTACCTCCCTGGCTGGGTGAGAGGCACTTAGGCACAGCTGTGTCCAAAGCTTTCCCCACCCTTCTCAGGTCCAAGGGCTTGTCAGTTCGGAGGCATGTCTGGCCACTACCCTAAAGACCCAATCATCGCCCCTGACCTTGGGATGCTGCCCCCCTTAATCTTCATTGGATGGGATTTTCCCCAGAATTTTTTCTTCCCCAATAAAAGTCCACTCCCTGGCGTGTTTTTTCTCTCTCTCTCTCTTGCTCTCTCCTTCTCTCCCCTCTTCAGTAAACCTCAATACCACAATGGGTGGCTGAAGACTGGAGCTAGGAGGAGCCATCCTGGAGCTGGTTTAAAGGTAATTAGAGTCTTGTCTCTTTAATTCAAAACTCCCTAAAGATTTCTCACGTTTTGAACCTTCATTCATGAAGCTGGTGCTGGTCGCAGGTTAAACTCAAGACAATGGACAAATATAAGTTTGTACCTTTGACAGAGCTCCCTGGCTGCCATGCAGTGCAGGCAGCCTATTGGTCTCTGCCAAGAAGTGGCAGTGGAATAGGGAGCAGCACAGTAGCAGCATGGAGCCCATAATATAGGCAGGGTACACCTGAGGTGCAATGAGGCAGCACCAAGATGAGCCAAGCCACGCTGACCTGTCACCCCAGCATCAGCATGGCCGCACACAGTGAGGTGCTGCAGCCCCATCTCAGGGCCTTAAAATCCCATTCCCTGACCTGCCACAAAAAAAATGGAAGTGGGCAAACTTGAATGGAAGTTGGGACTCAAGAATTGACCAATAGTATTACTATGTTTCCAAGTCCTAATTAGCATAAGTTTGGACCAATAGCAGTGAATCAAGTGCTATACAAACCCCTAGATTAGCACACTCCAGTAGAGAACACCTGCTATTGGGTCCCCTCTTACACTCACTCATCCTGATCAGTGGCATTCATTCTTCAAATTCACGAGACAAGAACCCTGAAAGAAGAAGAAATAGATGATGAACTGCTGGGGTCTGCTGCAACATTGGAGGGCATGGCCCACTGCCACAGTCTGTCTGGGCACAATTCAGGAGCCACTTGTCAAAAGAAACTAACTTTATTTTTAGAACTACAAACGCCAAACAAAACAGCTCCTCAGTAAAAAACCCTCAGAGCCCAACTGCCATCACCGGCTTCCCACAAGCCCCTCACCCCCACACCAGCCCCTCCACCTCCCACAATCCTCCTGCTCTTGAGGCCGATTGGCTGAGTTGTGTGGGCGGAGCCAAAGAAGTCCCCCAATGAGCAGCTCCATGGAGGAGCCAATCAGCTAGATGTTGCTGGGGCCCGCTGTGAGCCAATCATCAGCTGGCAGCTGGAAGTTTGCTGGCAGCTGGAAGTTTGCTGGGGCCCCTTTGGCTGTGGCTCTCAACAGCCCACCATTAAGAACTGCAACACTTCTTGGCCGCAGAGGCCTGCAGCTTGCGCAGACCCCACCTGGCAGCAGAAGCAGTGGATCAAGATTCATCTCAAAACTCTAGTTTCACCTTCAAAAACTACAGAAAGAAGAGTAATTTAAGGATAAATCAAGCAGAAAGGAAATAAGAAAAATTAAAGCAGTAATCATGAAAATAAAACCATGAAATCAATACAGAAAGTCAACAAAGCCAAAAACTGGTTCTTTGAAAAGATCAATATAATTAATAAACCTCTAGTCAGGCTAACAAGGGGGAAGAGAGAAGACACAAATTGCTAATATTGGAAGTAAAAGAGGAGTCATCACTACTGATCCCTGGAATAGTAAAAGGATAATAAAAGAATATGATGAACAACTTTAGGTCCACAAATCTGGGAACTTAGATGAAGCCAATCCTTCTTCCCAGGGTACATCATTGTTGTTATCTGCTGTTGTTATTGTTATTTTGCCATTTGTTTGTTTGTTTGTTTGTTTAGTCACTTGCAAGGACTTTCTGTAAAGTCAGGATTCTTTGATAGGTGTGGCCACTGAAGTCTCTAGTCAGTTAACTTAGTGGTCAGCTAAAGACTGTTCAGAGATTTCCTTAAACATCTTCAACCAGTAAGTCTCCCAGCCTCTTCAAAGAGAGGCTATATGAGTTTGGAGCATGCCTTCAATGTTCCAGCAGGCAGTTTACAACCCTGCCTTAGTTTTTCTTCTGTGCAGACAGAGGTGAGAGATTAGGACCTTCTGAGGTCTTTCCTGGGCATGTACATAGCCTTTCTCTTACACTTGGCCCTTTGAGATTCCCAATAATATGTGAGAACTTTTCAAAATCCCATATGGTACATCTCATATCCATTTTGCTTTTTTGTTTTTGGGGGGGGGGGTCAGTCTGTTGTAAGCCCCAATTATTGTTGTCATGGGCAGCTATGACTACTGCCACTGCCACTGACTATTTTCAACAAACCCCCTAAGAATATGGCTATTTAGAGAATGAGCTTTGAGTCAGGTCAAATGAACATAAGCTTGAAATGAAACTTTTAGGGAACTATGAGATAAATTAAATAATGATAATTCTTCAAGGATGGAGCCTCAGGGAAATCCAAACCCATTATCTCCCCTCCAGTAATTATTAAGCAACCAGTTGTTATGGCTACTGAGTTTAAAGGTTGTGGATTTTCAAGACAAAGCTAGGAAGAAGCTGGGACAAAGAGGATAAAATAGAGCAAGTTAAATGCCACTAATCTCTAGTTTTCTTAAGTAAACATACCCTGGGCTGTTTCGAGCCTTTATTTAATTTCTAGAGCTCTGTAAAGGTTGATATTGACCATTTTTTCCTAGTGTTCTCATTGCCTTTTATGGAGGAGCATGTTTGGAGCAGCCTTTATTCTGTTATTCTGCAAGTGTTAATCTCTAAACTCACATTTTGCTGGTAAAGAAACTGAGAAAGGTGACTTGTCCAAATTAATGAAGAGTTATGGTTTGGATCTTTAATGTGCCCCAAAGGCTTATGTGTTGTCCCCAGTAGGTGACACCACTGAGAGGAGGTTGGACTCTTTAAGAGGTGGGGCCCAGTAAAAGGAAGTTAGGTCATTGAGGTTCTCCTTAGGGGAAATACTGGGACCCTACACTCTTCCTCTTTCTATTTTCCTACCTGCTGTCATGAGGTGAGCAGTTTCCTCCACCATGTGTGTCTGCCATACATGATATACTGTCTCACCACAGGCCTAAAAGCAAGTGAGCCAAGCAATCATGGACCGAAACCTTTGAAACTGTGAATCAAATAATTCTTTTCTCCTTTTAAGTTGATTTGTCTCAGGTATTTGTTACAGCAATGGGAAGCTGACTGATACACAAAAACAGTGGAAGGATCGGAAAGGACAAAACCTAGTCCTTCTGCACACTGCCCAGCCTCTGGCTTTTCTGTCCTTCATTTCTCGGGCTCCAAAGAATTATGGGTTAAAAATCACTCAAAAGCAGGATAAAAATTATTTCAAAAAGCCCAGAAAAGGAAATAATTCCCCCCCCTCCAAGTGTATATTAATATTTAACAATGGCTTATGTGTCAACCCCAGGCCTAACATTGGGAGGCTCACAGGAAGGGAAATGAAGATAAACAAACATTAGTGACAGTTTTTTTAAAAAAAAAAAAAAAAGGTATCAGAAAGAAGCTGGGATTGAGTGCTGAGTTCAGGACAGAGAGATGCCTTCCCAGCTGACTCATATGTTACTAAGCTCCTGTATCGAGGGAAAACAATGAATAATGTCACATATACTGGGCCCTCCAGCAACATTTACACCACATTGGATTCCCAGCACCAGCTGGAGCTACTTTGCAACTGAAGTGAGTCACTACTGATGTCAACACAGGCCCTGAGTAGGGGCTTTGCCTCAACATTCCCCCCACAGAGGCAGCAGATCCCAGAGTCTATCTAATAAAAGGCTGCCAGCTCTGAAAACAAAGAAAAAGCCCTTGTCAGGGAACTCCTCCAAAAGTGCCTTCCCTTGCTCCTCCATTCTCTCATTCCACTTGTAGATCAGCTCTTGACAGAAGTCGCTGTTGATCTCCTGAGCAGTGATGTGTTCCTGAGGCTGGAGCATGGCATTTATGAAATTGGGAACCTCTACCACAAGAAAAAGAAAAAGAAAACAAGGGCAACAGGGTAACTAACAAAGTTGCTTCATTTAAGCATCTAATCCTGCGGCCTGGATGACAAGTTAAGAGAAGGGTGAGGGGGGACACACTATTCTTGGTGTCTCCTGTCTGCTACACTTCTGACTATAACCAAAGTGAAAGAATATTAAGTGAAGTTCACTGAAAAGCCTTAAAATAATAATAAAAATAATTTAAAAAATAATAAAAAGGCTTAAAACTCTTAGATTTAAAATAATACTTCCATTCCACTTAAAAGATTGTGTTTGGTGCTATGTATGTATTAGAGACCATATCTTTGTGCCGCAGTCTGGCTGGGCAAAATAATCTTGAGGGTGACAAGCAACTTGTGAAGATACATCGGGAGCCGCTTTATTGCAGGACAGCAGAGGTATATATACTTAATTAATTACACACAGCTTATCTTAATTAACATAAACTAGATACAGCAGTCAACCAATAAGGAATCCTCATCATCTTAATGATTACACACAGCTTAACTTAATTGACATAATCTAGACACAGCAGTCAGTCACTAAGGAATCTCTATCATCTTAATGGCTTGCTGGCGTTACTTCTCAAACCACTCCTCTTGGCAAAGTGCCAGGTGCCATCTTAACTTGGTTGTGGTCCTCATCATCTTTGTATAGTCCATGCACAGTTTTAACTTGATTCACACTTTTTTCATAAAAGAAATGTTACATGATTACAGATCTTAATCATTTTGATTCCACTACCCAAAACATGGCGTTTCTTCTTTACAACTATTTTTTTGTTTTAATTAGTTATACATGACAGTAGAATGCATTTTGATACATCATATATAATGGAGTATAATTTCTCATTCTTTTGGTTATACATGATATAGAATTATATATGTACATAGGGTAAAAGTGTCTGATTCATTCTACTATCCTTTCTATCCCCATACCCACTCCCCTCCCTTCATTCTCCTCTACTTAAAGTACTCTCCTCTTCCTTAGCTCCCCACATTGATATGCATCAGCATATCAGAAAACATTTGGCCTTTGGTGTTTGGGTATTGGTTTATTTCACTTAGGGTGATATTTTCCAGTTCCATCCATTTACCAGCAAATGCCATAATTTCATTTAAGGCTGAGTAATATTCCAATACACACACACACACACACACACACACACATTTTTTTATTCATTCATCTACTGAAGGGCACCTAGGTTTGTTGCATAGTTTAGATATTGTGAGTTGATCTTCTATGAACATTAATATGGCTGCATCACTGTAATATGCTGATTTTAAGTCCTTTGGGTATAAATCAAGAAGCAGGATAGCTGGGTCAAATGGTAGTTCCATTCCAAGTTTTCTGAGGAACCATACCACTTCCATAATAGTTGTACCAATTTGCATTCTCACCAGCAATGTATGAGTAGGCCTTTTTCCCCACATCCTGGCCAACATTTATTGTTATTTGTATTCTTGATAATTGCCATTTTGACCCAAGGAAATAAAATCTTAGAGTAGTTCTGATTTGCATTTCTCTAATTGCTAAAGATGTTGAACATTTTTCATATATTTGTTGATCAATTGTATTTCTTCTGTGAAGTGTGTGTTCAGTTCCTTAGCCCATTTATTGATTGGGTTATTTGGGTTTTTAGTGTTAAGTATTATGAGTCCTTTATATATCCTGGAGATTAATGCTCTATCTAAGGTGCATGTGATAAAGATTTTCTCCCATTCAGTAGGCTCTCTCTTCATGTTATTGGTTGTTTCCTTTGCTAAGAGGAAGCTTTTTAGTTTGAATCCATCCCATTCATTGATTCTTGATTTTCCTTCTTATACTTTAGGGGTCTTGTTAAGGAAGTCAGAGTCTAAGCCAACATATTGAAGATTTGGGCCTACTTTTTCTTCTACTAGGTGCAGGGTCTCTGGTCTAGGGCCTAACTCTTTGATCCACTTTTAGTTGAGTTTTGTGCAGGTTGAGAGATAGGAGTTTAATTTCATTTTGTTACATGTGTATATCCAATTTTTTCAGCACCATAGAGAAAAATAGGCTATCTCTTCTCTAGTGAATCCAAAAACATTTCAATAAACATTTATTCCTGTTTTATAAATTTTATACATTTAACATTTTTATTATTTCTCCACTTCCTATTTCTCTCTCTTGGGTAAATATTTCATGAGATGAGGACACTGGTCCTAGAGGGGAGAGACAACACACTCCACTATTTCAGAAGCTGAGTTGGCACTGGCCACTTACTTCCACAAGATTCTAGAGGGGGAGGGGTGAAGAGAGGGGAAGAGAATGTTCCAGAGTTCCATGGCAGCTTGCTCAAAAAGCCTAGTAAACATCTGTCTCACCTTTCTCCTGTTGGGGGGCTGAGATCCTCTGAGACCTGACAAGTCACTTGGCTCCCCTTGATGGTCCACAGCAAAAGGCCTGTCCTAGGCATACACTGACACCACCACAACATGGCCACACTCATTCAGTAATAATGCAGGATAGAATGATCTTGGCAGTGCCCCATAAGAATTCCACAAGCATTCTAGGTTCAGTGTGCATACCGGTAATCCCAGCTCCTCCAGACACTCAGACAGGAGGATCACAAGTTTTGCTCCATCATTTCTCAAAAGTGTCAAGTCAATCAAGAGGCCAGTGGATTTGGATACCTTCCTCTCCCTGACAGCTGATTCATGGGGCCTGCTGCTGAACCCTCTGAAGCTTCACCCTGAACTGCAATCTTGGAATTAGTCCTGATCAATACCCCTCTCCATTCTTAGAAGCTTCAAAAAGAATGCTCATTAGCTGAAGTATCTCAGTCAATGACATCTAAATCTGCCAATTTTATTTTTAGAGCCCTACATGACACCTGTCCTTGGTACACCCAGATGCCTGTGGGTGATGTCTTTGTTCCTCATCTCAACAGAAGGCAAGGCCACTCACCAGGGAGCTGCTATGGCTGAAGATGACAGAGCTGAGGTCGTCACAGTTATAGAGTATAATGAGATGGTTCATGATATAGGTCATCTGAGATCTGACGAGTCACTTGGCTCCACTTGATGGTCGACAGCAAAAGGCCTGTCCTAGGCTGCCTGCTCACAGGCTCTTCTGCTGCAGGAGGGTCTGGTCCAAAGCAAATATAACCTGAAGGATGGGAAAAAACACAACTCCCTTTTAAGTTCAATGACAAGGCAACTGTTTGCTTATTTCTCTTGTCCACAGCTGGCAATAGCCTCATCTCTCATTATACAAGGATCCTGTTGCTAAAAAAGAGAGCACAAACCCCTGGCTGGTGCCCAAAGAAAAGGAGGCCTAAATCAGCCCTGATCAGATCACATCTGGGAAAGAGTTCTAAGAGAAACACAGACAACCTGGAACTCTTCCATGAGAGCTACATGGAGGTAAGGAGACCCAAGAGCTGGCCTGTGGGAAATGACTGGAAAATCTAGGAGATGGGAAAGAGAGCAGACTAGGAACACACAGACAGGCCTAAATACCAGTAGGTTCCAAATACATGTAGGACTGCACAAGAATCTATCGATATACACACATCTTTTCTAACCATCAGTGTAGTATTGCAGTTAATGAATTCACTAGATCCAATGGTGGTTTAATGAAAGTTAATGTTAAAAAAAAAAAAAAGGAAAAGAGAGCTAAATGAAATTTGCCAAGTTTTATTTATATGGAACTTATCAGAGTCTTTGATACACTAATGAGCAACATAGTTCTTCCTGAGTGGGAAAAGAGCATGCTTACTTGAGTAATATATCACAAGATCATCTATGATGAGAAATCAAGATTCAAGGAATTTTGCTAAACAAGGAATTCTGTCTGGCACTGGAGAGCTACAGGAAAGGGGGTCTGACATCATGTGAGATATTCCCTAAAAGATTATGGACAACACTTAAGATCCTGTGGAATTTTCTATCACCTTTTCCTAGAAATGGATATAGATATATAATCTCTGATAGCTACTTTTCCATCTGCTTCTCAAGTAATCAATGTATAAGATGCTGTCTTTGCTGGGACATTTTCTCCTTTGCACAAATGTTCTCAGTCCATCAAAGCACTCTGACCAGAGGTCTTCACTAAGACAATTTCAACTCTCCAGGGACAGCACAAAGGTCTCATGTCAACAAAACACCCTCATTAGTCCCAGCAACCCACCCCCCTTTTAAAATATGTTTTAGTTACTGATGGACATACTACCTTTATTTATTTATTTTTATGTGGTGCTGAGAATCGAATCCAGTGCCTCACACATGCTAGGCAAGTGCTCCACCACTGATCCACAAGACCAGCTCCCCCGCCCCCCCCTTTTCCTCTTTCACACACTGTCCTCCTCATTTTCATGGGAAAAACAAAAAGATGTGTTGATTTGCTCCCCACAGGCCATTGTGGCATGGGCCTATCTGCACACATGTGTCTTGTCTTAGTATGTTTGTGCTGCTACAACAAAATCCCTAAACTGTGCGGTATATAGACATTCATAAAGTCCAAGATGAAGGCACCAGTCAGTATTTGGTCTGATGAGCGTGCTCTTGCTGTGTCTTTGCATGGCAGAGGCAGAAAGGCCAGCCAGCCAGTGCTGTAGGAAACCTCTTTTATAAGGGCCTTAATGCCCTTCCTGGGAGAATGCCTTGTGACCTGTTCCCCTTTTAAGGTCCCCACCTCTCAATACCATCACATTGGCAACACCTGGAGTTTGGAAAGGACACATTCAAACCGTAGCACCTCCCTACTTCCACATTCCTTCAGTTATTCTAACTTTCTTCTTCCTGTCATGCAGTCTTAACCAAAGACAGATGCTTTTTTGTAAAATCCCCTCCCCTCCTCTCTTTTCTGATATTTCTCCTGCTCTTGCATAGGCACCTTCAGCCTCTCCTGGGAGGCATTTTCCCCAGGGCCTGAAGACCAGCTCTTCTATCTAGCATATTCCTACCCTCCCAGTCCTTTATTTGTGACAAGCCCAGAGCTGAGCTGATGGCCCATCCAGCTGGTTATTAGTGGTCACAGCCCAGAGATAAAGATGGAAATACACTCACAAATTGCAAATTACAGTATAAGTGAGGCAATTCAGGCTTCCACAGTTATAAGCCCTGCAGTTTATGACAATCAGGACCTACCCCAAACCATGGGGAATTGCTGACTTCAGATTACCTAAAGTAAAAACCTTTGGAGGGGAGGATGAGAGGCATTATGAAGCACCTGTCAGGTGTGCCTAGCCTCAGGCCAAGTTTTCACACATTCTTTCTCAATAGATCTCAGGCTATCTTCTCTCAAAGTTTTTTTTTTTTTTTTTAAGAGGAGAGAGAGAATTTTTTTAATTTTTTTTTTTTTTTTTTAGTTATTGGCGGACACAACATCATTGTTTGTATGTGGTGCTGAGGATAGAACCCGGGCCGAACGCACGCCAGGCGAGCGCGCTACAGCTTGAGCCACATCCCCAGCCCTCTCTCAAAGTTTTAATAGCTCACAAATACCTGCATATGGGCTTTGCTATTCTCCTAAAGGCATTCAGAACAAACTCAGGTGACCTATTGCTAATAGACCTTCTTCCAAGGGTATTCATCAATTTTTTTCAAAAAATTTCTTGGTATTTAGAGCCATTTATTCTAACAGACTTGCCAGTCTGCAAACAAAGGAGGGAGAGATAATGTATGGCCCACAAAGATATTAATCAAATAAAAAAGAATTTTGTTTATGCAGCCCATTCTCAACACACTCAAATGTCAAATTCATTTTAAAGACATTTCACCTTATCATGAAGGGTTTACAACACTTATGATTTAAGCTTTAAAGAAGTTTGTATCCCAGAACAAAGCTAATAACATTAATAATTTTCTGAGTGTTTCTGACTCATATCAGGACCATGCTATGTGCTTAGCTTAGGTTCTCATTTATCTTTTCAATATCCTAAAAATAATTTTTAAAAACTATTGTTTTTTAATCATATTTTAAAGATGAAGAAAATGCTGAGCCTGGTGGCAATGCCTATAATTCAGCTATCTGAGAGGCTGAGGCAGGAGGATTCCAAGTCAAGGCCAACCTGGGAAACTTAGTGAGACTCTAAGTTTTTAAAATGTTTAGACTATAACTTGCCTCTAATCTTTGTATCTTTTATTTTTTGGAACTGAAAGAATTCTCATCATCCATTATGCTATGTTGGATGTTCTTGATGATACTTGGTCTCTCAATCACTCAGTTTCCAGAATCCTAGAGAAACCCAGGATTACTATTGGACTTTTGCTTCCCACTGCATTTATAGGTCAGTAGTAGAGCTCTTGCCCATGCATGTGTGGAGCCCTGGGCTCAATTCCCAAGATGAAAAAAAAGTAAGAAAAAGAAATCAAACAACTTGTTCAAGTAATATAGGCTAGAAAACCAAAACAGAGTTTGACCACAGTCTAATGCCAGAGCCAAATCTTCACCTATGTTGCATATGAGGGTATGTTGCTACCACTTAGCACTAATTGGTTTTTGGTATATGATCTAATTTAAATTACAAGGCTTAATCTAAGGGCCTATAAACCTGGAACTAGGAGCCCTCAGAGCAGTTCTCTTTGACCTCTATCAAAAGTCAGCCTTGGTGGGCTGGGATTGTGGCTCAATGGTAGAGTGCTTGCCTAGCATGTGTGAGGCACTGAGTTCAATTCTTAGCATCACATATAAATAAATAAATAAAGGTCCATTGACACCCTTGCCCGACTCTGGTTACCATCTATATTATTGAGACATCATCTGCTGATCTTCCTTCTTTTGTATGCTTATATTGTTATTAGGACATTAAAATAGTTGATAGGAATTTAGTGCATTATAATAATTCAAGATATCAAACACTTTGTTATTCAGAATTATAGACAGTCCCTGGTGGAAAGTGGACATCAGGTTGGTAATCTGGCTAATGGTGCTCATTAATTGCAATTCTCAGATCCTACTGTCCTCGAGGACCAGAAGACCTGGGAACATTAGTCAATGGGAAGTAGGTGGGAGTGGGAAGCAAAAGTCCAATAGTAATCCTGGGTTTCTCTAGGATTCTGGAAACTGAGTGATTGAGAGACCAAGTATTATCAAGAACATCCAACATAGCATAATGGATGATGAGAATTCTTTCAGTTCTAAAAAATAAAAGATACAAAGAATAGAGGCTAGTTATAGTCTAAATGATCCTGAAGTCCATTCATTCATTCATTCTCCATCCAATCATTCAATCAATACATAGTGACTGCATGCTTACTCTTCTAAGCATTGAAGATAAAGTCATGGATGAGAAAGACAAGATCCTTGTCCTTAGGGAACCTGCATTTTACCTGGAAGAGGGTATTGTCAAGAAGAATCTGAGAAAAAAATGTTTTTCCTTAGAACATTTTGGAAGGAGGGTAAGAGGCAGAGGCCCAAAGTTAAACACTTGCTCTGTGATCTCAGATTTGCCATCAAATCAAAACACTCCATCATTCTAGGACAAGGGATGCCATTGTTACTTTGCCTTGGCAGAGAAGTCACCTTGGGTCATGAGCACAGTCTGGAGGCCATATTTAGAAACATATGTATTTTAAGACATTTGAAGAGTAGATCTCAGAAACCCACAGCTTCCTCAGAAACCCACAGCAGCATCTCTGAAGGTCCCCTTTCTGGCATGACTAACAGCTGTTGGTCATTTATATGTGATTTACTCTCCTTGCTGTGCTAGGCCAAGTTTGAGCAAGTCTGACAAATTTTGGGTTTCAGGGTGTGACTTGCAGATAAGTAAATTCATCAGGGGGTAAAAAAAAAAACTCCATTTAGTTTAAGTTGCCCAGAGCTATTCTAGATGGGATGTCATCACTGACCTAGTCTCCTAGGCACTACAGGATCAAGAAAAGTGCACACAACTGGGACACAAGGACTATTCCTGGAAAGCCAAAAATCCAAAAATAGAAGACAGTAGGTGACCAGAGGGAAGACGAGGTCAGAAAGTTCTGACTGAGTCTGCCCACCTTCCTCTACTTGTTCACTGCCCCTTTCCTCCTTTCTAACCAACCTCAACCACCCCCCTTTTCTACATTCAATTCTTTCCTTTACAGTTTCCACGAAGGCTTCCTTCCTCACATGTTGCATGAGGTTCCTAGGGACACTGTTATAAAGTACCTCAAACTCAGTCACTT